CCGTTAAGTTCTTCTTCTGCTAACTTCGGCTTCAATACTACGTACACCAAGATTAAATTGAAGAGTAAACCTTTACTTCAAACAGCTCATATAAAGTTGATGTTCTAAAAAAAAGATGATTAACTAAACGGCACTTCACTTTCAGGAAATTCTAAATTCTTCAGATCTCAGTATTAAAATATTCCTGCCTGCAATTAGAGCCGTACTGTCTGTTAAAAGTTTCTCATAATTTCAGCTAAGAATTCGATGCTAAATCAACTAGTAATTTTTTACTTTATACATCACCTTCTTCTTTTCGCCTGCAAGTTTTACAGCGTGTTCACATTGCAAGGAGAAATTATCTATTGGTCTCAATGAAAATGTGATATATAACTGACAGTTAATAGCAAACCATTTATATTGGTTGCATAATTATTCAAGTTCAAGCACGCGCGTTGATTGAAACGGCAAATAAGATTCAGAGAATTTGAGATAAAAATCCTCGAAATTTATAACCAGCGTAAATGTGTTTGCTAACACATCTTGACGAGAGGTTATGAAAATACTGTTCACGGAAAGAACAATGCTCCCCCGATGATTCATTCCATGTGGTTGAATTTTTCAGTTTCAGCTCACTTGTGTTACTTAAGGAGTACATTTACACAACAATGAGTGAGAGCACCTCAACTGAAACGCATCGGTAGAAGCTATTGGAGCTCCCTCGTGCAAGAAATTACCGGTATTCTAAATCATATCTTTTTTTTAAGAAAATAGCCTCTGGGCACTATGTTCCACCTACAACGTTTCAGTTCAAAGGTACCTCTCAAAGTTCATTGAAACACGTGAATTCACATTTTACATCGAAGAAAATGGACCTTGCCTGCATATTCCAAAACATACGAGTCACATTTGATTTTATTAACACAAAAGCCCCTATAATGAATTGTACACACTTAGAGAAGGTATCATACGTGAGCAAACGTGATTATCCAGCCTAAGCGATCCGTATAAAACGGAAATAGATTGATATGAAAAAAAAGAAACGTGGGTGATGCAATAATGATGGCCCGAGTGAAAGCTTGTTGTTATTTTGCATCTGGATGCTTTCCGTGTTCCAAATTTTTTTGCCATTGTTTCAAAGTTATTTTTATGGATGACGGTAACCAAAGAAAAAAAAAGAAACTTCAAATCAGGAATGACTATTACTTTAACTGCAGTGTGGTTACAACGGTGCTGCTCGTAATATAAGTTTGTGGTACGGACTGTCAAGAGTTATTTTTGACGAGAAATATACCACTGACTAACAATCTATCAACTTCTTAAAGTTACCACGTGCATAGCAGGTGAACTTTGGACTTGGGCAAGTGAATGAAAATTACATAACTATTCCATGCCTTCTATATTTGGAGTCGAGTGCGTGTTGGTTCTTTTACAGCACCTCACTCTCCAGAAATGTTTCCCGAAATGTTATGTGTCTTCGGAGTGTCTTCAGGTAATCCTGTCTTCTAACTATTTCACATCGAACTGCGGTGACGTGCGCTTCAAAGCTCACAGTTCTGATATGCTTGAGAGTGACCCATAATTCAAATAGCAGAGCTTAATAATATTATCACATATTGCTTATTTCTTAACGATATTTGCGAGTACTAATTTACACAATTTTTGTGATTTCAAAACTTTGTGGAATTTGATACACGCGAAGAAAAGAGTGTGCAAAGTTCATACACGCGAAATGTAATACTATACTGCAAGAGATTATAATCTATTGAATATTGTTTAACAGAACAATTATGGTAATTTTAAAAAAAGTTCCGGCCGAGTGAAATCCGCGTGTTTTGAAATTGTTGGATCCAAACCCCTCTCGCTCGAACCTAGGGTGCTTGCTCAAGGGGCGACTTCGAACCATCATATCATCGAGCTGGAGAGGTACTTGTCGAAAACGAGTTTACCGTGTGAAGGTGAGAGTGATCTTCGTAGTAACAAATATATGATTTTCAAATATTCACAGTCGCTCAGTTAATTAACTGCGTGTCTATTTACTCCTGAAGTTATTCAAAAAAACGTTAACTTCTTAATTCTATCGCCAAAACCTTTTATAAACCTGGGCGAGGGAACAAACTAGATAAAGAGCACGTGGAAGTTAACATCAACAATTTCCAGATCAAGATTTCGTGTATTTTATATTATTATCTTTGTTAGATGCTGTCCAATAAAAACTTCCAAAAGATTGTTCAGTCTTTCAGAGTCGTGAAATGCTTTAGTCTTGCGTTGGCAAAAATGTTGAGTTCTGAAATAATAGTAAAATAATCGACCTAATTTACTTGAACACATTTGTCCGTTATTCATCCCCATGCGGGTTGCGGATTTGTGGATGTGTTACTCTGAGTATGCTCCTTCCCCTGAAAGATACAACCGTAGCGCTTCAATGGCGAAGAAGCAAAATGATGGCCACAAACTGGAATTCGGTTTCGCATCGGACCAACTTTTGCAGTAGAAGACTGTCACAGGGACATATAATGGTACGCAGGCAAGGTGTATATTTATTAAAGAGATCAACTAATGATTTTTTTTTGTTTTCATTTTCTAATTCATTCGATTAAACACCTGTGACAGCTTGAGTTCCAATATATGCTTGTATTTTAAGAAACAATTTTATTCAATATTTCTACTAAATTCGTATGTCCTTAAAATTAATATTGAGGTATGGAATTCGAAGAGCCTCAGCCGATGTCGGCCGAACCAAAGCACTAATTTTTCTGTTGTTTAAAAGCTATCAAACGGCAATTTCCGAAGTAATTAAATCCAAATGAAAAGCCAGTATTTTTTGGAGATTAACAAGAAGCATTCAGTACCCTTACCTGGCATTGGCAACTCGATGCAGAAGAGCAAATAAATTATTCAATGTCACATTGAAATGAAGCGCCGAAACAATATCGTTGATATCAATGCTTTCTCATGCTACAAAATGTGCACAACACTGACCTACCAAATAAATGCCAAATTGTTTATTCACTTGGTACATAGCTTAGTCGCTGTTTCTAAAATTGTCACTAATGTTAAGATAATATAATAATTGAATAATGTTAAATTCTTGCATTACTCTTGGATAAATTTAGAGTGTTTTTTTTAGTTAAAATTTTCACAAAATTAAGAGCTCAGTCATCAGATCATAGCTCTATATTAATAACAATTAAACAAAAGAAATAATGAACATATAACCAAAATCTAAATCTGTGTATTTGCATGCATGAACATAATAATAATATTTCCTTTTTAATCATTCTTTGGTTCTGCCGAAAAAAGCCGAAAAATACGCCTGAACTATGTTATGTATGTATGTTTTTAGTCATCTTTGTTTGTGATCTGAATACATCAACCATTTATGGTATAAGCCTATGATAATTCCTAAGTAATGAATAATATTAATGATATAGATGTTGATAATTACAACTTTTTTAAATTCTGATGGTAATAGTAATAGAGACAGCAATAATAATAATAATATTAATAATAATATGGAGAATACCTAGATATCAATATTTATTTGACATTCTAATACTAATGATTACAATAGTAACACTTCGATTCTGCATTAATTTGGAAAAAACACACCAAATACTCAATAATAATTATAATTATGAAAATATTAGTTATTTAGAATATATAAATACAATAATTATAATGAGATGACAATAATGATGATGATAATGCCAGTGATTATAATAGTGCCTGTGGTATTTTTTCTGATGGCAAGGGTTTTCAAACTGGCTTTCGATTCAAGGAGCTGTTAATAGATACAGTCACTACTTTATTTCAATATAAAATTTTAGTTGTATGTGTGTTGTAAAGAGTACTTTTATTTAACGAAATCATAAATTTCCACCGGTTACAAGCGAACTTAATGAATGGTCGGCCGAATAAATATCCCGAAAAATAAAATGAACTTAAACAACCAGGAGGTCGATGTATTTAGCGATAATGCCCAGGAAAGAAGTACTTCTTATCGGATAACATTTATATCCATAGCAAAGGATCATCTTTTTTTGGAAATCATGGAGACTTCTATTTCTAAAGGATCAAATTTCAAAAGAATCCTATTTGTTTCAAAGGGATCAAGTATCGTTTCGATTTCTGAATTCCTAAAGTAATTTACCATAATTGTATTTCGAGAGGAAGTTTTTTCGTTTCGAAGGTGTCCTATTTTGCTCCCAGTGGATCTCATTTTGTTTCAAAGTTATTAAAATATTTTTAAATGTCCAAAAGTAGTACTTCGATGTCTAGAAGATGTTATTTTGTTTCGGAAAGGATCCTATTTTGTTTCGAATGGATCTCATTTGGTTTCATGGTAAAAATGTTTTTTTTGATTTTGCCACACTTGTCGCGCCACAATGGCCCTGGTAAACTGAGATACCCGAACAACAATGGCTGGTTTAAATACTTGTGCCAGCTTATGCTACATATGCCATTGTGGCTGCCGACTCTTTGTCTTCTTCACCATACCGAACAATGCTCTGCATGCGGTAGGCTGTTTTTGAAAAGAATGAAAACTTTAGACTGCTTTGATTGCAAAAATTGTGGTAAGAAATCTATTTTAAAAAATTTCAGAAGAAGTTGAATTCGCCAGAGTGCTGCTCACTCGTTTATCATCAAAATTCTTTTAAATTCGATTCATCATAGAAATCGATTTTTGAATCGAGATGCACCGGACCGCATTTAGAGAGACTGGCTCATTGGGTCTACTCACCCCCGACCATCTATCTTAAGTTTATCACTAAGTGCGACAGGTGTTATTACAAAGTATGACAGCATAGTTTACCACTTGCTATTAGAAAGAGCGACAGCTCTTCTGTTACACAGTGCGACAGCTTTTTTATTTTTCAATAAAAAGTGCAGCATCAGCATCTACTTTGGATTATAATTATGTTTCGCTGCAATTACAGCCAAAAGATGTTTATGTGAACATGTTGCATAGGAAGTTGGATTTCCAAAAGACCTCTTCCACAGCTTTTATTATCATTATCATTACTACTATAAATATCGGCGATTGGTCCCTTAATCAAAGCCAGAAAATGAAGTTCAGCTCAGTCTCACACCAGCTTTTATCACAGAAGAAATCTATAGAATTTTGACCCGACCTGTAGAGTTTTCCAATGCTGAATTGAGTATAATTTACTCTGTGGTACACTCAAACACCGATATTCGAAGACTGATTTAGTAAATGCTTCACAGGACCAAGAAATTCATACCCGAAAAGTTTATAGTCATCTCGATATAACTCTGCAAGCCTTACTACGTCTTCATGGGGAACTTGGGAATAATAATGTTCCATATCACGTGAGCCAGTGGCGTTGTGTATCGGCGGGAAATTTACATAGTCGTCAATTCCCGCCATTTTTAACACAAGGGTGGCGTCTTCTGCCAAGGTCTCTAAATTACCGATGACATCGTAATCAATGAAACAAGGATGGCACAGGTCTTTAAATTGCCGCCAGTGTGGGTTGCGTGGTATGTCTGCGGAGTAATACCGGATGAACTCAGGAAAACTCACATTGTTATCTTTATCAAATGATGGCTTCCGCGAAAACACCTTCATATCCTGCCCATACTCGACAGAATTCTCAGAACGAAGGCTATTTACGATCATTTTTCGAATATTTTTACTAAAGTCACGATTCTTCCCGATGAACTTGTCTTTGTAAGCAGAAAGGATCCGATGCAGTGGCTCCCGAACAAACATAAACTTGAAATAGTTCTTAAGTCGATGTGACTGTCCTTCCTCACTGTATTCTCCAAGGCGACGCCATAACCTTGCTTGGTGAACATATATTCCTTGTTTGAGTCCCTGAAGATCTGCCAACACCCTTTTCCACGTTGTGGAAGCCACTTTCGGAATGGAACAGAAAATGATTTTATGTGTATCTTCCACGATCACAAATCTAAGTTCTTGATCGGTTAGTCTTCTGTTGGATGAATGTTTCTGGCAGTAATTTTTTATTGATCGTTTTCTAGCTTCCTGAGTTTCGCGAAGCGTTCGTGATATTGATTTCCACCCATCAAACGTTTCCTGCAATGGGATAAACTAACCTACATTAATTTTGTTGCTTGGCTTGCTTGTGTATCATATTTTATTATAATATTACGAAATGGGTTCGTTCCTCTTGACCGGAGCAACCCACTTAACCAGAGCAACCCATGGCTAAAAACTAATTTAAGATGTGAACATCAAATGTTTCAAAGACGAAATCTTTGTTCTTGCACATCCATTTTAAAGATGAACCTACCTTTAGTCCCCTAGAAACTGATACTATCCGTGGTATTATGACTGGAGATAAAAAAAGAGAGAGAATTTGTCATTAGTTACTGTAGTTGTACACGTCTTAAGTTGTTTAGTTCCCAAAGGAATTTATTAATATATGACAGAATTGATACTTTGAATGATGCGAACAGTGAATTGTTGAACATCAGCAGTTATGAATATATTGTCTTCATTGCTCAGTGGACACTTGGTCCGCAGCAAATAAGGATCAAGTTTTTATAAGGTAACCTTTATACAAGATTATTCATAGTTCGTAATTGTCTCTCCTTTTTAATTTTGAGTTTTGAAAGAAGATCTCAATGAAGTTGACGGTTAGCTGTAAAACGGCAAAAAAAAATTAGCCTTAAGGAGTAAAAATGGCCAACATTTTAACCGTTAGTAGGAAGAGCCTTCACCCCATTGAGAACCTCTTGAAAGCCGAGTAAAAGAGGTTCCTCTTTTATGTGGTCACTGCGGGGAGTTTGTATCTACTTTTAAGAGTATAGCATCGTTTGCTGTAAAGGAAATGTGTGCTTTGAGAGGTCGGAGTGTTAAAAGAAAAAACAGGAGATGAAAGGAATAAAATTCAAATTGATTCACTCCTTTAGAACACGCTCAGATTTACCACGAGGTGGCGACTACTTACCCCCGATTGTATCTTCATATAGATGTCAGTAGTTACCCTCAGGCTTGTTATTAGCATTTTCCCAACAACAGTAAACCATATGTTTTCTTGATTAGCAAAAGAGAAAAACTTGAACGTAGACGTTCTTTATTGAGTCTTTGGGTCAACAGAGTTGGGACATCGGCTAAAAATTGGGTTCCAACCTTTTTTAAAGAAGCCATAATGTAATGATTTCAAGCACACGAAGACTGTTTAAGATTAGCAAAGGTATTTCTTACCAAATTGTCCACCTCTTTGATCGAAGATCGTCACAGAACTCCAGTAAAATACTAAAGTTAGAGTAGGTACGAGGAGAAAGACAAAGACTGATTTCGACTTCATCATCAGCGGAAATCACTGAAACAAAAGCTCAAAAGTGGTTTTTCTGTAAGTTTAAACTCAAGATCCTAATGAAGAAACTTGTCTCAGGCGGATGATTTTGATTTGCATCATCGGAGTTTTCGGAGAAATACTGCCAAAGGGAAAAGGCCGTCTTGTTGCTAGGTAACTGACACAATTAACACAACCTACAAATTAAAAGGCACCATCTTCCTTGAAAACAAAACGTATTGGTCAATATCTCATTAACAGCTGTTGACACACCTCATTTATTCCGTAAAACCAACCGCCCACGTGGGGTTCATAAATTGTTTTCGCCATAATCTGCTAAAGCTATTAACACATAAAGTTACATACATTGTTATCAGTTAAGATTAGCTTTACCAGAATATGCATGAACTGTATGCTCACAGAGGTTGTGCTAGTTGTGACATGGTTTGGCGTCATTTGATTGTACACTTAGATAAAAGTAGTTGAACAAATGAAAAAAAAAAGAGGGGAAAGCCACAAAATGTTAATTTAGTTATTGTTTGAGAGTCTCTTGGAAAAAATTGCCTTAAAACATTCTCTGATTTTGTGGGAATTTGCTCAACAGCTGAGTTATCTGGGAGACGGTTTAGAATAGGAAGCGCTTTAACCACTCACAATTTGCTGGTTGGACATTGCAAAAACATGGCAGTATAATTTATATATAATTTCCAAAAAGTGTTTTTTAAAAACTACTCGTTAACCCCTGCGGTTAGGCATTATGCAGCTGTAAATGTAAACCCCCATTCCCCCTCCTCACTCAAGCTCAAACATGTGGGCCTTTTTTGGAGATTAAGTGACTAACTAACAGCTTTATTTGGCCCAAGCAGGTCGATGATGGACGCGTTTTGGCAAACCTGGGTATATGGTATAACCTGTCTATACAATTAAGTTGGCATGTGGTGTATCGATAGGATTCGTTTATACGAAGGCAATTTAGAACTCAAGATGGTGCCCCTTGTTCCCAAAAGGATCTGTTGGTAGTTTGATGTGCACGTGTGAGATGGCGGGAATACATATGACAAATTTTTTTTCCTTTCTATTATTGCTGACAGAGCGCCTGCATTAGTTCCTGGCATTCAACATGATTTTAAACACAGGAGTCGATAAAAGATTTAAAACTGTTTGGTACTAGGCCACATTTATTCAAGTTTCTTTTTTCTGTTAGCAATGCGAGAATCGAAAGAATTAATCCCGTTTCTCTTTATCCACTAGTAAGCATTAACGTTTGAACTAAGTGTATATATATTTATCTAGAGGATTTATCATGGCCAGACTTATGTTTCAAATTTTTTTATCTTATACGTAAAAAGAAAAACCTGCAACAAAATTGAAAAAATATTAGTTATAAACTTGAAAAAAGAAAAATACTGCAGATGTAACTCAATAATCTTGACAACGAGACAATAACCCACAAAAATGCAGATTTACTCGTCCAGGGTGCAAATCTAATTGTAATAAGTGCGAGTGCATTTTTCAGTTGCTCCTCGTGCAATTTAGAGCTATGAAAATGTTTTCTTTTTTTATCCTAATGTTTTTAAAATTTAAAAGATACAATATGAGGCCTTCGTTAAACAATATATTCATCCACCATCCAATGAACGAGTTAATCAATCGATCGATTAATCAATCAATAAATTAATAGACCAATCAATCTATTAATCAATCAATCAATTAATTAATCAAACAATCAATCAAATAATCAATCAATTGATCAATCAATCAATCAGTCAATTTTAGGATATGCAACGAAAAACAAAAAAAAAATTGCAATCGAAATGAACTTAACAAATACCCATAATTCTCCCTAAGTAGTCATCACATGCAAGACATGGAGGAAAACTTACCAGACCTCAAAATTCGTTTATATGATAACAAAGTTGTGAGTCATACCTTTAATTTCTAATGAACTGTCCCTTACAGAAATTCATTGTCAGCAAGATTGTAATATATTCGAATACAGACGAATTTCAGCGCTAAATAGTGATGCACCAATTGCGCTTTGAAACTATGCAGCAACAATTACACATTAAAATGATCAAACGATGGTTCGGAGAGGCAGTTAGGCTGATTGAAAAAGACTTTCCATGAGGTAGACAAGAAATACGAGAAGAAACCCAAATCGGGACGATCGTGCTTGGTCTGTGCCGCCTGTAGGTGTAATTGTGGCCTTAGTTGAGGATGGGGCAACGGTGGGGTGAGTATTACATGCTTCCGTGTCACAGCATTCCACGCTGCAGGATTTGATCTCCGCTAATTGCCCTGCCCTTGCTTTTGCGTCTGCACAAACGTATTGTTGAGTTAATGAGCAGTTCACAACCGAGGCACTGGAGGAATTCACCTGAACAAAAGAACAGTAGTTATTGCAACACAACCCCTGGAGAAAGGCAAGTGACTGCTTGTAGAGGTTCGTTAAGGAAAGAAACTTCGAGATTTACAGTCATAAAATACAACCATCCCATAACGTCAAATTTATATTCTTTTGTTTTTTTTGGCGACAGCTATCTGATTACAGGTTCCTCAAATTACAAATTATCACTTTGATTTACCTTAACACCACAGCCAAAAACAAAGGTCTTGAATGTTTTCCCCAAGGCGAGTGCTTCAATTTGGGCTGTATAGCATGCATCATATGTCCGGTTTTCCCATAGCTGGGTCAGATTCTCTGGTGGAGGCTGAACATCACAGTCTACTTCTACCTGTTCGGACGCTTTGTCGCAGACTTTAAAAGTCTTCTCATCTGGTATGCATAACTTGCATGTTATCCCTCGGACTGAAAGAGGAGTTGAAACCGTGATGGTTAGGATATAGTCAGGATGTTCCAGTGAAGGGAAAGGCAAGGGTCTAAATCTAAAGAATGTGAAATGCATACCGGTACGCATTGCCCACAAATCCTGCACGCTCAAAGCCCTATCCCACACCCCCAAGGAGCGCAAAAGCACTAGAGACAAATGCCCCATCTCTAACACCGGATTGTGTTCACGACGAAATGCAGTATATCAGCTCACGTGTTGCAGCTGCGATCAACGATATAGACACGCTTCATCCACGACCGCGTAAAAAAACATCTAAATAATGAAAACTCGTCTATGAAAAAATACATCTATTTCTGCCAGAACAAAGACTATAAAGGCATTGATGTCAAGATTATTATGAGCGAAAACGACCCCATTAATCTACGCCTTTATGAAGCGTTTTACATTAGAAAGTGCAGGCTTACATTCAATTCCCGGGAGGAATGTAGTGAATTCGCAGACCTTCTATTGTAGTATTTTATTTTAAAGACCATTCTTTTAGCACTTTTAGAGGTCCTTTGTCTAGAGACAGTCTATCATTGGAGCCTTGTGTTCCATTCACAGTTTATTTCTCTAGCTTTCATACAGAAGTCACATCTTTTACACATTTCACCCTCCACTTTGTTTGCAGATATATAGCGCGCCCGGAACATTTTCCTATCCCTGATGATGCCGTTGATCGGCGAAAGCTTGGATTTTAGATTTTACTTTTTAAACAACAGTTTAAGGCCTCATTAGAACAGTTTTACAAAGTGAAAAGTGTCGCCAAAAAGGTAGGTTCGTCCTTCGTAGAAAATGTTTCAAAATACTGAAGATAGGAATGCTTCGGAAGCTTCACACATATCTAGCAAAGTAATAACTAATTTTTCCCTGCTTTAGAGAAATTTCGATTCAATATAATTTTTTGAGAAACATGATACAGTTTTTCTTATACAGCACCAAAATTTTCAACATGTATACAGTTGTGGATATCAAATGAATGTTAAAAGAAAAATATGCGAATTGGTTTTGAGAATCTTGACCGTGTTTTATTCTTAGCAAGCGTTAATTTATTATTAAAACATAGATGTTGAACATCACAAATCTCGCCACGAGAACAACGTTGGGCGGCTAGGGAATTTAAAATATTTGTACACATGCGATGCAAAGGATTTCGTTTAAGAAAGTAACGATAAAAGTGAAAGTAAAGGGTTGAACTTCAAGTTTATCATCAGTGAGAATTCAAATCAAATTTCAGGGCGCTCGAGAAACTTAGAAGGTGCTCCAATCTATATCGGTTAATTTTTGTAAGTTGTGGAACCGTCGACGAATAAATAAATAAATAATTTTCTTGCGGTAGTTTCGGAGATATTGATAAAAATAATTGAATTTAGTTTTAACCGTGTCTTTTTCTGAATTTATGATGTTTCTTTACGTTTCGCTAACAGGTGCATAATCACGCAAGTGTATGACTGAAATGGTGTGATCAGCGTGGCGTGAAATTATTGATTTTTGATTGGTGGAGTTTGTGTGGCATGACAACATGTGCCGTAGATGTTGAAGTTTATCACAATTTCCTTTTTTGGTGATGAACATGATCTCTTGTACGATTTTACCAAAATTGTTTCAATTTTTTATCACTATCAAATTGAAACTTGCCTTGGAATAGGATAGTCTTTATCCCGACAAAAAAGCTTTTTTCAAGAGAAAGAACAATTTCTGCGAATGTAGAATGCGACGTATAGTATAATATAAAGCAGTAGCTGTACGAGGGTCGCAATATTGTATAGCTTACGAATAAATGTTTTTCGAAGGACACATTTCGTTATTTTGATTGAAAACAACAGCCTCCCTGAAAAAAAAAACTATGCTTTCTACGGAGGAATTCGCAGAATTCGTATCCCGTTTACTCCACAGCGTCATCTATTAGACTATGAACGTATCCGTTAGTACAGAGACGATTTCCAATTTTCATGATATTTTCGCACTGTAGCCGCCGATTCAAATAACCATTCAAAGAAAGAAAAATAGATAGGCCTAATTTCAATCGTCAGCTTAAGTAATGATACTTTTCTTGTAGAGTTTAGGAGGAGTCTAGTGTTGAAGTGCACAAAGGCCTAATACAGCGTAAACGTGTAAATAACATTGGATGAACTCACCTCCTGGCAAAGAGCACAAAATCAAAGCCACCACAAAGGCGATGGAGTAATTCATGCTGATGATTTAGTAAGGAGACCTTGAAACAGAGATTATGGCAAGCTTTCTTCGCCTAAAAGTGTTGTAATCCACCCTGTAGGTTGTAATGAGCTGAAATATTCAAAATCGAAATAATCTTATGAATAAACAAATTCTTATTGCCCGGATGCACGGTGAATGGCTATGATTCGCTACTCTAAATTTTACTAATGGAGAGAAAAAGAAACATTGATCACGCTGACTGATTAAGAACAAGGGAAACTTTATTAAAAACACCGGTCTTGATGATATTTCACTCAAAATTATTCCCTACCTTACCTTGACTTTCACAAAAGAAGTCAAAGCTTTGGTAAAAAAGGAAAAGGTTGCTCTTAGTGTGCTATTACACAAATCACATAAACGCAAGTACATTTCGTGACTTATGCCCCTAAATATAAGTGATGTTTTCAAACTTTTCAAAACATCACCAGGACGAGAGAGGGGAGGGGGGTAGAGAGGGGATTCCAGCCTCCTCAAACGTAACTCTCGAGGGTCATAGAGCGAGAGTTTCCCTTGCGTGTTTAAACTGAAAATATCAAAAAAGGTTTGATTCTACCGGGAAAGCTGTGAGAAATTTGAATGAGGGTACGGTGCTTGGCTTAAAGCAGTCATGAGAGGGTCCCCACTTACCCTTCCCTGTTCAAAACGCTGTTTTACCTTATATGTTTGTTGTTGTTTCACGTCAGTGAACGCAATATACTAATATGAATAAGACTTGTCTTGGCTTGACAAAATTTCATGTTTGAGGTTATAAAAAAAAAGGAATTTTATGCGATTCAGCATTCAGTTGTGACTGTCAGCGATCTCATACTTCTAGTAACAGCAAGGTTGGATTGATTTTTTTGTTTTATGTTTTTTTTGTTCCGTTTTATAACTTCTGGAGAATAATCCAAAAGTGTGCAGGTAAGTCCATCAGTAAGGTAAATTAGCCCAAACGAACTCTTCACTCAAAAAAAACGAGAAAACAAAAAAAAAACGAAACTGCAAAAGAAGCAACTCCCAACCTCTCTTCTTTGTAGCTGAAGCTATGTGTAAACATAGAAAAAGCCTTCATTTTCTTCAATGCTCTTAACTTGTCTTCGCGCGCGCGTAAAATTATGCACGCAACGCAATAACACGTAATTTCAATTCATGATGAGCAGTGCATTGTTTCATCATTTGAAGTCTGGCGACTACGGAAAATATGGTGCCAATAGAGACCCCGAGACAATCCGACATTTGGCTTAAAGGACAGCCTTCGTCACATCGTAATCATTTTTGTTAAAGTAGCATAGATCCACGCAGATTCTTGGAGCCTAAACGACAGAAATTACAGTCACTAGAGGCTGAGAGAATTATGACTTGTCTTCGAGACACAGTTAGGCGAATGGAAATCACCACGGCTCCCGCTATATACTACCTTCGTTAACGTAATTTTCCGTTATTTTCGGCCAGGATTTGACATCGCATTTAATCAGACATTCGCACTTGCAACATGCTTACAAAGGGACGCTTGCCGCGTTGGAGGGAAGTTCAAGGCAGAATGTCGAGCTTGAATCTCGTAAAGAAGGAGATACCAAGACAGAGGCTGGATCAGGCAAAGTACAATTCAGTAATAACCACACTGTTAGCATTACTTCTTCGAATGCAAATTAGTTAAGAGATGATCTTAAGAAATAAGTCGAATTTCTGGAAAAAGGAATTAAATGCTCATTGAGAGAAATACTCAGGTTTTTTAAAAAGAATCCGAAAGTGATTGAAATAGTCACAGGTGAGAAAAGGATGTAAATAATGGTGCTAGTTATTGGTGATTTCACAAGATGCGTGTTTTCTTTCTCTTGCCACCTAGAGTAGCGTACCAAAGCCATTAAATTTTTCATTTCTACATTCTAATCTCCCCCTGAAACTTGTTAATAAAAAATCCTTTGAGTTATTTTTGTTTTCTCTATATGTGTCTCTTACTCACTGGCTTGTGTCTCTGTAAAGTCACAAACGTTTAATTTTTTGCAGGCGGATGAACCTCTATGTTTTTTCCTTGAAACATTAATTTTTATTCACTTATTTTCTTGTAAACAGAGAGCAAACCAGTCCGTAGTCAAGAACATACAGCTCTATTGAACAAGCTGACATCAGTAGAAAGTATCATGAAAGAGAGGCTATTGACAATACCATTCGAAGAACAAGAGATGAAATCAAAGTTAACGGATATTATTGACAGAGAATAGAAAACAACCGCATTACGAGAAAAACTTGAAATAAAATACCAGGCAGCTGTGGAAGCAAAGCAGTCTGAGGTAAATTCACGGTTATGTGATACTGAGTGTAAGCCCATTGAAGCAGAAATAATAATAATAATGATAATAACAAAAAACGAAAATGAAAGTTGTTGAATGTATCTAGTTTAATCTACGAAAATAATCTTCCCCAAGTTCCGAAGACCAGTCAAATGATATTGCTATACTTTGCGCCGTAGTGAACGCTTGGCGAGATAGAACGCATATCAGTATTATGAGTTATTTTGTCTTATGCGGCTCCTGGCATACACCGCGATGATCTGTGATCGTCGAGCAATATCGAAAGAGTCCTGAGTGGTGATTAAGATAACATGGTGGCGAATCTTATCTCGGTCCTGAAATAGTGAAAATGTAAAATTCGTGCCCAGATCAAAGAGTCGATTAAAAGTCTCAGCCCCCCTTAAAGATTCGAGGCTAGCGACTTCACTAATTGGATGCTCTGAGTTCCTCGCAAGTCTCGCATATCGTCAGGATCAGCGACGTCAAAGTGTAAAGAGCAAGATTTATAAGTTCTTACCCCTCTTTGAATTCCTACGGTAAATACAAAGTTTATAAACTCTTTCAGATTTCTGAACGAGATACAACAATTCTGTGGCTTCGGCTAGACTTGCAACTGATCGAGAAAAAAATGTTCCTAGGAAAGCGAAGCGTCAAAGACTAAAATAGCAAAATATTATGAAAAATAATAACGTAAAAAGGAGGCATTATTTTAAATCACCTATGCATCTATATGTTTTTTTCTATGCAATGATGAGCTAGGATCATCTTTTTGAAGATAATCTGTGTAAATTAATAAAAAGTGAATAAGTCACACTTGTGATTCCCGTATAAAAAAAATGTATTTAAGAAAAAAAAGATAATAAACCAGCAACTAAAATTAAAACAAGGATACACCGTTGTAATTATGAGTTTATCATCGCTAAGGGACAGTACTTCAAAGTACAAAACAGATGTAATCTGTTCGGAGCCCCGAGGCTACGTTAAATTGTGCTGGTTGACTATTCTAAAAATTAAAAAATTGACTCACATCTACATTTCAAAGTACATGCATAGCTATAACCAACTTAGAGTGGAAGCTCAGTAGATTTGAATTAAACCAAAAAATCACAAGGAAAGTTATCATATAAGCGTTTACTCGAATAGCCAAACTGTCATTAAATGCCAGTATTCTACACCATCCTCCAGCGCATCCATTCCTGAAGTGATGAACTTGTTATTTCTCCCCATAATGGCAGGGTAAACAGGTGGCTTACGCCTGAAGTCTATCCACGTTTAATAAGTGACAAAATCTTCGATCTTCGATTTTGCACTTTCATGGCAACGTCTTCCACTTGTGTTGAACGTAAAGTTAACTCAAACCCAAATAGCTTCCTTTTTGTTTTGCTCTTCGAAGTAAGTGACATTAATGTATGTTCTCTGGAAAAGTAAAGATGACACAGACTTTCTGAAATGCATGATTTAAAAATTCTTCCGACTGATCAGACTTGTTTTTTCCTCATCCTCGATAAACAAGGCCTGGAATGAGGGGATAATGCCTTTCCCATGATATCAAAGGAAACTCCTATTGCCCAAATTGAATGTTAAAACACATTCTGTAGCTTAACTGTTGACAAAAATGGGAAGTCGACAGTAGGTTAACCAAAAATTTAGAAGCAACACTCTACCTTGTTAGTTTGCTCCATTCCTTCGAGGAACCTCAGAAAAATTTTGCTCATTATTGTATGTTTCCTCTCTTATTATTCGAAATGGAAACAAAATAGCGATGAAATTCAGAAAACGGGAAGAAGAACATCAATATCAACTAAGCTTTAAGGGCCCACTCACAGTCTCGTGCTGTAAAAGTTCCTCCAGCATCTCACAAAGCTGTTCAAATGATGGACGCTCGTCAGGGTTCCTCTGCCAACAGCCTAACATAATGTTATAACTAAAACGTAACGCAGAAAACACTATCAACCTAATGGCCTAAAGCTCAAACGGTTCTTTATTTTTGTTGCACCAAACTTAGACCCCAAAAAATAAAACCTTGCTTTTATAATCTACAGTTGCAACAGCAGTTTTCAGTAAAGTACGCTTGATCGTGTGGTTGCATTGAAAGACTGAAATAAAGCATTTGCCGACAGTCAAATTTTTCAGCATTGTTTATCATCATCTTGATATATATGGTCTTCATTAAAATAATCAAAAATAGGGATTTTTATCTTCATTTCCACAAATGAATGATAAAGACACTGAGGAGTAATGCAGGATAAAATTTGTGCGCGGATTAGTCACCTGAAGGGAAAAAAAAGGTGATTGGTGAAAAAAAACCTTTGAAATAAAAGCACATGATGACCTATCACGTCAAGACAAGATGCAGAATGAGAGAAGTAACTGATATCGTCTGACAAATATACTTCGAGGCTTAATGTCTCGGACTTACAGCTCATCCGAACAATGCAGTGGTTTTGGCAATCTTGCTCCACCCTCCAGTAATTCGTAAAGCTCTAAAATGCCTTTGATACCCGTGTACGGTAGTTCTCCTAGAAACAGAAGGATCAAATGCAGTTCGGTGGTAATACCCTCCATCTCATAAGATGACAAAGGTCTATCAGTGTTAGTTAGAACCCTTCAACTAAGGATTTATGTGCAATGAAAGCATTTGCTGAAATCAGAAGAAGATCCTCTTGTGCCTTGAAACGTCATGGTCAACCTTTTAGTAAATCTACTGGGCAATCCTTTTTTATATAACTTGGATGCTAGAAAATTTTATCAGAGTATCTTGATAATTCGATTTCGATTTTCTCTGCCATTCGCATCATTGATCGATGGCATTAAATTAGGGTCCCAATTCCTTACCTATTTTAGCCTGAACGCAAACCTTCATTATCAACACTTAAGCACGAGCGTTTCCATGCCGTCAGGAAAGTTAGAGACCTTGAGAAACGCAAGTCGGCGAGAGGTCTTCAAAGTGTCTAGCACTGATGCCATGCCCGGTAAACCTCTCCCTGACTCGTCTCAAGTCTTCTCGCGGGCGGAGAAAGGCGCGCTCTGCGGCGCAAATGATAACGGCCTGCTCGCAGGCTACACCAGTTTAGAAAATTGGGATTGTGGGAGGAATGGGTGTGTCTAGCTTTTTTTTCTTCCAGGTTAAGATCTCAATCATTCAGTTTTAAACATAATTTTATCAATAGGGTTTTTACTTACCAAGAGTAACAATCTCCCACAGGGTTACTCCGAATGACCACCTATAGAGGAGTGTAGTATAAAAATAAGGCTTGGAAATTGTGAAGTCTCTATAGTAATCCAATTTCAGCCTGGGAATACCGATAACTTACACGTCTCCCTTTATTGTACAAGTTCCCCTTAATGCTTCCATAGACATCCAAAGCCATGGAACTCGTCCCTATGATAAAGTTTCGGATATTAGTCAACGAATGCTTAGTTGATGATTATAGATATATGAAATTCATATATTTGCACTGCAGTGAAGAAACGAAATTAAGAGATCCTCGCAGCTAAGAATACTACTGAAACGAGTAGTTGAAAAGAGGACCTGAAAAAATTCAGGCCCGTACTGTGAAGAAACTAAATTAAGAAACGAAATTAAGAGATCCTCGTGTCTAAAATCATTATTCATCGCTTGGATGGTTTATTTGGACCAAACACATTGACCAGCTCCCAGTTGGCTTGTTAGCTCAGTTGATAGAGCACTGTACCGGTATCGCAGAGGTCATGGGTTCAAATCCCGTACGAGTCTGAATTTTTTTCAGGTCCTATTTTCAACTACTTGTTTCAGTAGTGTTCTTAGCTGCGAGGATCTCTTAATCTAGTTTCTTCACCGCAGTGCAAATATATGAATTTCATATATCTAAAATCATCATTCATCACTTGGATGGTTTATTTGGACCAAACACATTGACCAGCTCCCAGTTGGCTTGTTAGCTCAGTTGATAGAGCTGTACCGGTATCGCAGAGGTCATGGGTTCAAATCCCGTACGAGTCTGAATTTTTTTCAGGTCCTATTTTCAACTACTTGTTTCAGTAGTGTTCTTAGCTGCGAGGATCTCTTAATCTAGTTTCTTCACCGCAGTGCAAATATATGAATTTCATATATCTAAAATCATCATTCATCACTTGGATGGTTTATTTGGACCAAACACATTGACCAGCTCCCAGTTGGCTTGTTAGCTCAGTTGATAGAGCACTGTACCGGTATCGCAGAGGTCATGGGTTCAAATCCCGTACGGGTCTGAATTTTTTTCAGGTCCTATTTTCAACTACTCGTTTCAGTAGTGTTATTAGCTGAGAGGATTTCTTAATTTCGAATGCTTAGTTCTTACAAGAAATTGTTAATTACATACAATTTTATTGATCGCGAGGAGTGTTGTCACGAGCACAGACTAGCGGTTTGGCAACCCCCGGTAAAACTCAGCACCAGAGTCAAATAAAAAGTTTATTATAATCTTATTGTCGCGAGTCTGATTTGTGAGAACAGAGTCCCAGCTCAGTTTCGCCGTAATGGTAATATCTAAGGTTGTAAGATTCATCAATGTGGTGAAGTCTTTCTGTGAGGTTCGTCGGTCATGTTATGAGTGTTGTTAAAAGGTAGGAACCAATAGATATTTTGTTAAGGATTGTGAGTTATGCTGGCAAACCAGCTTTCCACCCAAAGTGAGTCAATGCGTGAGTTAAAATTGTGTAGAGTTCCATTCAGCTGTCGGAATTCCAGTCATTAAGATCGTTCTGAGCAATAAGTAAAATATATACCTCTGTTGTCTTGATGTATTGCCCATCTGTGGATACGTCACGTGCCATTCCAAAATCAGCCACCTTGGCTACCAACCCTTTTCCAACAAGAACATTTCTGCACGCCAAGTCGCGATGAATGCACTGAATCACAGATAAACGAAATTAAGTACTGCTGTTCTAGTCATGGTATGCACACCTATGTAAGTGTCATTTTCTCTATAATCATCAACAGGAATCGTGTCTCCTCAATTCTTATCAATTGTGCTAAACCATTCGTTTTTTTCTGTTATTTCTGTTAACTAAGTTGGATTTAGTATTACTTTTTTTTCATTTTTTTCGCTTGTAATGTTCCGTTTATACATTTTTTTAATTTCGTTTCCCTTTCGCTCGCATTTCTCTTAAGACTTTTTTTGCTTCGCACTACTCTACGTGCGTACCATCTGCATTTCGCCGCTTTTAATCCGCAACTATTCAGTTTGCATTTACGGACAGTACGTAACAAAAATGTTACCAAAAGTATATCTAGCAAAAACATGCACCTCACTCATGAATCCATGAACAGACCTGTTTACTTTCCAAGTGGCTCATGCCACTAGCGACGTCTGAAGCAATGTTCAATAATTCTCTCTCTGTCAGTCTTGACCATATGTTAACATAAGTTGGATCAACTTGGTGATTTTGGACGTGACTACTTCGAAGCAATTTATCAAGACTTCCGCCACAGACAAATTCAGTGACGATGCAAAGAGGCTCTAGAGGTGAAAAAAGAAACGTTGAAAACTTAAAGTGCTTCTGAAACATCACACTGCACTGCTGACTCGAGATATAAAACCTCTTTGGATTTGTTCTGACGGCCCAAAATAATCTCTTTACCAATGGACACAAATCAATCAATAAATCGATACATCATTTTTTACATACATGCTTACCATGGAAAAACTAGTTTCTTGGAAATATTTAACATTTAAAGGTATGCGTGCCGGTGAATCAGAAACGAATTAATTAAGTTTAATTTGGATTCAGTGAATTTGAAATCGGTTTATCGAAATTCATCTTACTGCATAGTTTTTTAAAACCTCTGAGCTGAAGGTGAAGACTTTCCCTAAATCATCGAAATAAGACGAAGGCTCTGCACCCACAATACAATTGTTTTTTCTGAAATCTTATTTCCATCTCCGCTACACAAATTTTTATTGACACAACTTGCCCTCCAACGTTCGCCGTAACTTTTTGAATCGCCGATCCCTTACCTTCAAAGGTGCAAGCTCCGACCAAACTGACAATATTCGGATGGCGACCAACTTGGATAAGTGTCTCCAGTTCTTTGATTAGCGCCATTCGCTGCTGTCTGTCTTTGTTATCTGTCAAAGAAGACGTGGTATGAAAACTAACTTTATGATATAATAAAACAATAGCAATCTTTAATGAGGATGCCAACGTCATGAAGTGGTTTACAGAAGGGTCCTCAGAAAAATACTTGGTTCCCTTCTGCTCTAGGAGTTTTTTATCACCAAAAGGTATGTTTGACGTTCTTATCACTCAGGGTTTAGACGGTAAGTTTAAGTTGGCAGGCCGCAAATCACAAATCTTGAAAATTTCCCCAATTTTTTTAAGGTTTCAATTCTGTCATTCGCTGTCCAGTTTGATATCCTGTCCTTTGTCATCACTAGCCTGACAATTTAAGGTTGATTGTTGTCAACATGTCTGCTGCGATTCATTTTCCGACCTGTAATGTAAATTACTTTAGTTTCATATAGCATGCGCTTTGTAAGTTTATAAATTATTAAATTATAATTATTACTTGTAGAGGCTATCGTGCTTAACGATGATATGAATCCTAGTCTGGAAATTCAAGGACGGGTGAGATTTATCTTCCGTCAACACCCTCTGAAGGATATATCTTTGATCATTTAATCTAAAAAATATGTATTGATTTTTCAACCTTTCAGAATTTTCACAGCCACTGGAAGTTCATTTCCATCAGTTCTTAGGTAAACTCCTTTCTTAACCTCTCCAAATTCTCCTCTGCCAAGTTTCTCCTCTGAAATAGTCAGTCTATCTCTGGGAATCTCCCAGTTTCTGTCAACTGCCATCAATTGTAAATAAATTTCGTTTTCAACAACTTCGTTTTCGCCAGTAGTAGATGGATCCGTGTGTTGACCATCATCGGTTAATGCAGACTGGCTGTTTCGTAACTGATTTATCGTATCGTTTGTGCTTGTGATTTTAATCGCAAAAGCCTCTTGAGTCCTTCTAAAAATCTGATTTGACAAAAGAAAAAGATTATATCACGTCAGTATGCTTTTAAAAAACCTTAATGTGTACCTCAAAGGGCGGATTTTTTTATCGTGCCCATATCTGTTGACCTCGTTAAAACCGAAACTAAATTAATAACAAAGTTCACAACAAAGGTAAATCAAAAGAAGGCTATTAAAGGTCAAAATAAATTTATGCAAAATTAGTGCGAGAAAATAAAGCTGAACAAGTCCAGATTAGTCAACTCAGCTTTGAATCTCATTGAAAATTTGGTGCGAATCAATGGCAGCACCAGCTCTTAGTTAGTGAGGAAAAACCTGTACAGTTTTGGGATAATTATTGGGAAAATGGGAAAAGGCGATGATTAAGCGATTTAAGCACCTACCTCCTGGTCTAGTAGGTAGACTGATCTCTTTTCCATTCTCCACTTGATAACAGATAGAATAAAGATGATAATAAGAATTGAAGTCCCAGTTATCACGGTGGAAAAAATGATTTCAGACCCATTTTCGTTGGTGATCGTTCCGTTATCAGCTGAAATTGCGAGATTTAGCAAAAATATTCAATTGTATAAAAAATACTCTGCTAGAGATAAAGCACCAGTAGAGCACACGGTTAATTGAAAGGGTGGTGAATTTTCTTTCAAAAAAAAAAAAAAATGCCCAAAGACACTGAAGTAGCCCTTGGATGAAAAAAACTGAAAACAAGGATGTCTCCTGCCAAGAAATAAAATCCAAACTCCAGGCTTTGGATTGCATTGATTTTGACATAATCATGTTTCTTAATTTGCATCATTGCTTTTACAAAAAAAGATTTTTAAACTTAATTCTGGCTGATCTTCCAACCTAAGGCTTCGAAGAAGTTTTGGAAAACATTCTTTGTAACTAAAACAGAGGAAATTTTATCTTTTCGGTAACTTTCCGCTATGGTCCGATATCTTATTTGTGAATCAGAGCTGTAAGCTTACCCTTCATAGGTGAACGTTCCTCATCGCGTTTTGCGATCATCAGTGTGGCTTCCTGGGAAGATATGTTTCCCAACGAGTTTTTAGCAACGCAACGATATCTTAAGTGCTTTTCTCTCCCCTCGTTGATTACAACAGTGAGGATGGAGATGTTTTGACTTCGAATCACTGCATCTTCAACTTTGGAGTTGTTTTTTAACCAACTGATCACTGGAAGTGGGGAGCCATTTGCTGCACACGAGAGATTAACAGTCACAGTGGTGGCATCATCGTCAACATACACAGTTGTGTCTTGGGGATGAATGGAGAACACTGGCTTCCACACCACTAAAAGTAACAACAACGGTTACACAAACATTGTACTGAATAGTCCAGACACCCGGGGGATCACATTATTTTAGTTGACACGAAGGGGGATCAGTTGCCACCAACAGAGTTTGAGAGGGGTGACTATAGAGAATTCACTTAAGGCCACCTGCCAATGAGGAGGAGGGGGAACATAAGAATATTTTTACCATAACTGTGGAAATTCTTGTGCGCTATTGGTCGAGAACTGCTATTAATAAAGTTATAGACGATAAAAATGACGTATCATGTAACGCAACGGTCGGTAATCCTCGCCACGTCGGATAAGATATTTATCGCGCAAAAACAATTGCAAAGTTTTGAGATATAGACAGAAACACACTTCAAAAATTTCCAGATCGGTATACTTAGAGAAATTTTCAGAAGAATAACTTGTCGAGATAGAAGAAAAAGTGGAGGTAAATCTTCAGAAATAGAAATCCGGTTTTCAGTGTACAAATACTTGCCGATGCCGAATCAAACGGCACTAAAGTCAAAACTGAGTGGGCAATAAAAAACGATACAGGGTAACAGTGTCTATTGCCATCCATCTCTTACTGGTGTTTCATTGTAGAAGTCATTCAATAACACAAATGAAAACAAACAACAAAGCCACGATCGATCATGTCCTGTGCACGTAATTTTACAAAAAAAAAATTCAACTTGCATGGAAATTCATCGTTATTGTAAAGAAGTAAATCGACCACCATTTTTCATCGTCGATATCCTTATCGATCATAGAAATGTTCAAAGGTTGCAGTGAAGCCACTCCGCTGCTCCTCGTAGTTTCACTTTAATTTTGTGCATTATCGACGTCATTTCTTTGATCATTGAGGTTATAGAAAAAAAAAAAATGGAAAATGGAAAAATTATGGTCAATTTGTGAAACGGAGCCTTATGGGGGAATAGAGTAAATTTCATTGTAACACAACTAAAATTTTCCGACCCCTCAACCCCATCCCCACCCCCCTCCCCTTTAGGCAATAGCTTATGACCAGTCCCTAAAGCTCGAGATTGAAACATGAACACTCTCCAGCAACTGTTGCATGTGGTCTTTCAGAAGCATTATCATTATATAATGGTTTATAACAACCGCCGTAATCTACTGGAAAAAAATTGTTTACAAGCATTCGGCGGTCAATGGAATCCATCAGGGACTCGATGTGGTAGATGGAATATTGTAATTGTCAATTTTATGAATATATGAAGAAAGTCGAAAAACGCAAAATTATGTACATACGTGCACGTGTGGTGAGTTTCCTGCATACGGGATATGATCATCACCTTTAAACACATCTCATCATTTGAACATTATTATGCTCTTTCAAAAAATTGAAATGTTTCAATACCTCTTAGATTTACAGGAGCTGATCTGCTCTGCCCCTCTGTGCTGTTCGCCTCGCACCAATACTGTCCTTGGTCGTGAGGGTGTACAGATTCAAAATTCAATATCGAATAACTTTGTGACCCCATCACAGAAGTACTTGAAAGGCTATTACCGTCTTTGAGCCAGGTGATGGAGGGACGGGGAACACCTGATGCATTACAGCTGAGTTTGGCTTTACTAGATTTTAGAAAGTCGACTTCACGAGGCTGGTGATGAGTAAAAAGCGGAGGTGACGGCTCTACGATTAAACAAGAAAAACGAAATTTAAAATTAGAGAAAACACGTCGAATTACACACTTTCCTTTATGACCAATATGATATGAAATTGTTGTTTACCCGTCAATTCAAATTGATGCATCTTCGTGGTCTTTTCACGAAAAATTATATAATGTAAGTCTTACCCGAAATGAAATGTCATGTAGATACCAAACTAAATGTGAGCTACTTCATTTGCTATATTGTATAACTAGAAACAAATAATACAAAATATTACTTTTAAACATCAACGCCATCGTTCCCATTGTGCATCCAACGTGACTGGTTGAAATGCAGGTATAATTCCCAGAGTTCTCCTCGGTGGCGTTTTGAATAAAGTATTTGCACACTTTTGAACGTTCGTAATGTGAGTCACTATTGCCACCACCACAACTAAATTCTCTCTTGTAGTCATCGTTGAAAAAATACTGTATCCAGTAGGGTAAGTAATATTTATGATTCGAGAAAGCTGGATGATTGCTTGTACAAACGACTGTTATATTATAGCCAGTTGGAAGAACATGCTCATTCGGGAATTCCAAGTTGTTCATGTCCACGGTCGGCACCATTGAGAATGCTAAAATAAAAGTAGGTAAAACAAGAATGTCAAGATTCCATGCCAAGACAAACTTATCAGAAATAAAAGAACATGGAATAAGATTGATATGGTCTGCAGTTTTGTAAATGTCTAGCCATAAAGTCAGCAATTACTGGGACTAAGATTTCTTTGATTTCTTTCTATTACCGTTTTAGCCAGGCAAAGTACTGACCTAGACATCAATCATTAAAATTTCAAATCATGTCTCTTCCAAGTAATAGCTGTATTTTATCAAAACGAGGAGAATTCAAAGATATTTGAAGTAAGCTCAGAACTGTTGAAAAAATTGACGTGTGTTTTAAACTGTAGGAACTTACGTTTAGTCGCTTCTTCAGCTGATGAACATCTGTTTCCCAAAGCCCCAAGTCGTTTCTCAAGTAAGAATAAAACTACACAGATAACCAATGGCATTTTACAGCTGATTTTAGTCAAATCCTGAAAATCACAAACTATGGATATGACATACAATTCATTCTGTATTTAGTTGTTTAAAGACATAAGCACGAAAGTTGTACCGATTGTGGTCGACGACAAGTTAAAAGTAGTGTACAAGTTGGGGTATTACTAAGGATATTTTCTATATCTTGCTTCTTTGCAACCGAGATACCTCGCCTCTATAAAAAGCGAAGTGAATTTTTAACCCATAACTTATATTTAGAAACTCATATCGCATTTCAGACTCATCACTGAGGCAAAAAGTAGTGGATAGGAAATGAGCTGTCAAGTATCAGTCTAATTTTTTTTGTGAAAAGCCCCGAAGTAATAAATTCTTAAGGTTGATAATTGTATCTGAGGCGCGAAATCCTGGGTACACCTGTCAAGATCATTTCGCTAAAAAGCAAATTAAATACTTCTCTATCTTGACCTGTCACACCAAAAGGTTGTTGATATAAACCTTCTGAAACCACACATTTGTAAGGGGGTTAGAGGAGAACTCAGTCCTTACTGATAAGATTCTTGCAAAACAACCGAGGGAATCTAACCAGGTTTGAGAGAGATTGAGAAAGAGAGTGAGGACTGTAAGAAAGATACAAATTCTTATAGGGTCCATCAATTTAATGTTTCATGTAGATTAAAAGCTGAGCTTCTTACGTCGCTAAGGCAAAGGCGGTCAGTTTAATATGCAAAAGTAAACCAAAAGGAGCGAATCGAATCAATGTAGTCCCCACGATAGCCTTCACTCATTGCTAATCCACTGCAGTTGGCCGCATCGCAATGACTACGATTTGACTTACCTTTTGGCTCATTGGCATCTTAAAGCTTTGTTGTCTTTGATATGCTTTAGTCAGATTTCCACAAGTATCTGCGTCTTAAAGCTGTAGCAAGAGAATACAAAGCGTTTATATTCTCTTGATCGCGGGCAGGACAGTTTTTTTTCCCGCCAGCCACATCAAACTTTTTGGTGTATCCGTTTGTTTTGAAGTGGCAATTTTGGCAAGGTATCTTGCGCATAATTGCTAAGGCTACCTTTGTGGTCAACTTACACTTTCAGCATCTGTGATTTTGTTTTTTCTATGATCAATGAGTCAGATTGACGATTAAAAGTTTCGAAAGACATGCGACAAACATTTTGGAGGACCTAATTTAAATCTAAAATGAGCGAAAAGTAAAACAATAACGTTGTTATCTTAAAGAGAATGGTGGGTTATTAATTTTGGCAAATTCTAAAAGAAATGTGCTGCCGGATTTGAAAATAAGCTGACATTCAAAACTGATGTATATTTCTATAGATATATTGAATTATTTGCCCTTAGATCAAAATTAAGTTTACTGGGCAGAATGTTACGAATCCTTGAGATTCGGTCAAGTCTCAAGTTTAATAGATTCTAGGATCCAATAATTTTAGTTTATTGGGGCCTCTATTAAGACATCAAAAATTGAAAAAAAATTAAATTAAAAAAGGATCATAAAGAAAATTATGTATTACCTTTAAGTTTTGAACGTGTTTTTAGACATTGGAAAAATTGCGAAAATATTCACATCACTTTGGAGATTTCCAAAGACAAAAGACCATGCATCACTGCAACCACCATGACTACACATGTAAATCAACTTGTAGTTGTGCTACTCGTTGTTGTTATTTGTTTTTCAGCAAACCTTTTATCCAACACTCTCAAAATTCAATTTGAAGCAAAAAAAGTTACAGACTCACCAAGGAACTTTAGATGTTTATGTTTTCTCTCTACAGTAACGCGAAAAAAAAAACAGGAATAGTGCTCAATAGCTAAGTCTCGACTTAAACAAAGTAAGCATATAAAGCAAATTCAATTCAAAATTGTCGCAAAGTTCCTCGCAACTATATTGCCCTTGGAGAGGTACCGAAGCGTCCAAGCGAATATTACACCGTAATAACTAAATTTTATTTATTCAGACCAAATTTGTTTGATTACAAGTCCGGTAATCCGCTAATATTTGTCCTTATTATTGCTCTTTATTTCCTCGAAGATTTTCACTACCGCAGAGGTAAACATGTGAGGCTTTTTACCAACTGAAATTTACCATTCTTGAAATATCATTGGAATTATCTCATTCCATTAGAGAAAAAAAAGGTCGTTCCGTCTATGCTTTCCAGAACTAGAGTTAGCGGCTTTCTCTCACCTTTTATAAATAGTACACGACGTGCAAGTTTTGAAAGTGGTTCACGTGCGTCACGCTTCACTACGTTCCCACGAGTTCCGGTTCAGTTGCATGTCGGCCATTATCCTTGGCTAACTCATCCATTTAATTTTACGATGAAATTGATCAAAACAACACTTTGCTTTTCATCGGAGCAATACATATAATTCACAATTGTAAGTAATATTCCAGATGAAAAATACACGATATTATATAGACTAAGTGGTACATCACCTGTTGCAGCGTGTCGGAAAACACAGGGTTATGTATTTGTTGAACGTCATCCCACGATGATTGCTGATGCGTCAGTGAGATGATATGCACATGTTTCATAAACCCTTCTCTAAATACCTAATAATCTCGAATGCATGATCTAAAAAAATCGGTTTAAAGTACTAGAAAAGGGTAATCGGGAAATCTACAGCAAATTACTGTCATGAAATCTATGCCTTTCATACGTTTGGGTGCGACAGCGGAAGTCAAAATTTCTGTAAACAAACTTCAATAAGGTGGAAAAAACGATGAAGTTGTGAAACGTCCTACCTTACACTCTTCTTCCATTGACCAAGCAGTATATATATTTTTCTGACGCGAGTTTCATCTTTCTTATGACGCAAATGGCTACCTAGATGAACTGATGCTGTCAATCCACTGACACAGCCACCAATTATCTAACTGGTTTGCGTGATGTTTAGTCTAGAGTTACCTGTAGCGAGCCGGGCTAAATGAACTGGAATAAACCAATTAAACTGAATAAGAGACCAACCCCGATAATTTCATTTAAAAATAGAAAAAAACTAAGTTTTAAAACATGTGCTTATATACATCCGGTTTCGTTACGTAAAGACTGGGATTGCGGAAAACGATGATATGTGATAGACATAACAAACTTCAGCACTGAGGAAATATATATACCAGCGAGCGTGGCTTGTCTGCAGAGAATCTCTAACATTAGCCTTCTTGCTCATTGCAAATTTAAACTACGTCCATAAATGAAATTTTTAACAACAATGACCACTTCATATTGGGCTTACAAGCTTCATTACGAGTCCATTACGGGCTGATATAACTGGCTGGCGTGAAAGCGAAATGTTTTAAAGGGAAGAGCACCACAGCTTGTGCTCTTCAAAATAACTCAATAAAATGTTCAAAGCCGAAGTTCAATGCCGAAGTTCGTTGCAATCATCGGCAGCCTTGTCCTCTTTATCCCTTAAAGAAACCATGACAATTCGATGAACGTGAAATTGGATTTCAAATTTTAACAGCCTACATCATAATTAAGACAGACGCTAGTGCGATTACAATTCCCCCCTTCCCCGTTTAACTTTTAAGTTCCTGTTTTCAATAGACCATTCCATTTAGCCAGCCTGGCTGTGTAACCCACTGGGATACATCAAAGATGCTAAAAATGGATCACAAAAGTTGCACGACTCTAGATAGCGAAAGTTCATCACAAGCCACCCTTACTGATAGTTATCTTTTTATATTACCATTCCAGCCAGACTGTTGGTCTCCTGTCAATTGTTTAGGATATCACAACTTTTAAAAACTCAAAGCAACAGAAAGTTCTTGATAATAAAATCCAAGAACAAAACTCTGTGACTTGTTATAAGGGAATTGAACCTAAGTATAACATGCATTGAGATTTAAAGTCAATCACCAACTACAACTCTCTTCCATAACCGATTTTATTTACCATTTGCTTACAGATGAGGAAATTGATTGATACAATATAGGGCATCATGCAAAACATGCGGAAAGAACATGGATAAAGGCAAAACAAAAACAGCTAAACGATCGAGTAATAAAAAAGGGTATAATATCATACAGCGAACAACTAATAAGGTGGCGAAGACACTTGTTTGTTACAATGACGTGAATGGATAAATGTATGTACAGGTAGAGAAATTAGGGGCCTGTAGAAAACCACAATGCAGACTGTAAGGAGCAGGTGGCGAAACAAAGGATTTAATGAACAGAACAATAGCTCAACTCCTGTTCTTAAAACCTCTTTACATTTCCTGAAAGCTCCATGCTAAATAAAAACCTGAAATCGCCTATTTTTAGGGCAGTCTAAGAAAGGGATGCCGATGACCTATTATTCATTAAGAACTCTTGGCCGCATCCCAATTAAAGCTGAATGGAACGTTTGGCGTCTTTAGAGACGTTAAACTGGTAAACACATCAATCTACTCTTAGTAGAAAATAGTTTTCTTAATGATGTTTTCCCCGGCCTCGTGTGATCGTGAATTTCCTAAATTGGGAAAATTTCACCATAAACAATTTTTGAAGGACAGTCCATTTTGATGATTCTGAGCTGCCTAGAAGTTTTCTACATGTTATAGGCATTGTCCCTTTACTTGAACAATTGTCTGCTAAATAAGTAAAAAAAAAAAAAAACATGAAGGCAACGTGGAGGCGAGTCGAAGTACTTCAATTCCACTTTTGTTAGATACAAACTATGTGACAGTGCAAAGGATAAAATTTCACAGATTTGTAAATGCCAAGTTTGTCATCTGATATCGCGGGGCTTTACTGTTCCCTCTTTGTTGACTTATCATATCGTCTTGGGTGTGAAGATGTGGCAATTGGTTATCTTCTCTCATCTGGAAGACCAATATAAACAGATATCACCGTTTTAGACTGCACTATAGTGTATATCTAATAAATCAGTCTCTGTCAATAAGTTTTTCACAAAAAAAACAACAACGACAGGAAAGTAACATTTGTACCATCTTACCTTTTTCGCGATGTTGAATTTGGCATTTTTATTTCTGACGTGAACCAAAAATATTGAAATGACAATAAGAAGTAGTACAAAAGCTCCTGTAGCAACTGGGACCCACACAACTTTGGAAATGCACAATGTGGAATGAGAGGATTCTTTATCTAAAATGAAAAATAATAAAGTTAAGAGTGCGATGTCATTATAATGCAGGATTACCTATTTTATAATGGCCTCAGGTACACAAAAAGTTTGAACGACTCAGCCTCTTTTTATCCTTGCCTGTTATGACGAGTACTGCCTCCTGTGAGATTGCATTTCCCGCGAATCTTGTTGCTTCGCATGAATAACGACCAACGTGGCTCTCACTCACGGGGTAGATCTTGAGCACAGAAGTGGCACTTTGCTCTCCTGAGTAGTAATCAATGTTACCGTCCACATTTGCTGAACCATCTTTTAACCACACGATTTGTGGGACAGGACTACCCTCCACGGCACACACGAAAACCACGTGGTCTCCTGTGATAGCCTTGATGCTTCTTGGCTGGAAATAGAAAGGGCGTTGTCCCTTTGTAATACCTAGTAACAAAAATTAAGACCCTTAGCCTATGTTAGGGTTGATGCAACCGTAGAAAAGAATCAAGGCGAAATCACAAAGGAATAACAGAAGAAGATAACAGCGAAATTATTCCAGCAGTATATTAGTCGTTAAGCGTTCATCTTTATACATAACAGGATAAAATACAACCCAAGCAGGCACCTGAATGTTGAATCTGTTCACGGACTACCAGCACTCCCTCTTTTGATGACACTTCTCCGAGAGAGTTCTTGGCAATGCATTTATATCTTGCGAAGGTTTCCTCTTTTGTCACACTTTGAAGCACAAGAAATGAGCTGCTGCCATTCTGAACCACCATGCCACCAGTCAAGGTAGAGTCGTTCTTTAGCCAAGTTATAGAAGGACGAGGGAAACCAATGACCTTGCAGAAGAAGATCACCTTTATATTTGTTTCCTCCAGGTTTAAGGAAACGTTGCTTGGGTGAACCAGTATGACTGGCATTGAGAGAACTGCAGTGAAAGGAAAGTTGATATTCATTGGGTTACAGTGAAGATACCAAGAAAACACTTCAGCTGATGATGAAGCATGCAACCAACACCTGACCGCTTGAGAAAGCAATGAAATAAACACGATGATTAAACGGTGTCTGAGCCAGAAATAACTAACCCTTAATAGTCGTATTGTTGGATGTTCTCCCTCCTTCTGAGTTTTTTGCCTCACACCAGTACTCGCCCCCGTCATATGATGTAACGGATTCCAAGGTTAGCTGTGAAATTCCCTGTACGTTCTGGATGTTCCTTCCAAAGAGGGGCCTGCCATCCTTATACCAAGTGATTTTAGGTTTGGGAGATCCTCTTGCCTGACATGTAAAGTTGACTGTACTTCCATAGGAAACGTTGAAATCCTGAGGTGGGTTTAAAGTTACGGTTGGAAGTGTCGGCTCTAAGCAGTGAAAAGGGAAAGAAACTCGCTGTGTAAGTCTTAGTTGCAAAATCATTTTGCTAATTTTAATTTAACTTTTTGGCCCCTAGTGCACAACTAAAGCAAATCAAGGGCTAAAAGGACAAAATTGACAAATAACAGCAAACTTACTCTCAAACTTGACGGGTAATGTCCCAATAATGCACAACAGCTGGTTGCGTGCCACACAGGTATAATTTCCAGAATCAGCCTCTACGGAATTCACAATGGGGTACGTACATATTTTTGAGTCTTCGCTGTCGCTGCTTCTACCACCGCAACTTCTTACGTAGGCATCATTAAAGAAAATCTGCATCCAATATGGCTGACCATAGTATGGGTTTCCATAGAATTTTTCGGAAATATTACTGATGCAAATAATTGAGTGATTATAGCCTGTCGGTAACATCCCTTCATCTGGTGCTTGCGAGGTTTCGATCGTTAGTGATGGGGAAAAAGGATCTGCCACAAGAAAGAATCGAAAGTCGTTGGTCACTAGAGGTATATTCAAAATTCTGTCTGAATATTACTATAATCATGGTAAAAAAAATCAGTCACTTACAGTGATGCTGCATTTGCATAGAGACACAGCTTGCTTGTGTAAGATTTAAAGAAACAAGCAGTGAGCCAAATCCTATAAGCAAAAGATGACTTATGCTCCCTTGTTTCATTTTACTTGCCTGGAATCGGAAAAAGTATATTTATTAACATCGAACAAATTCAAAGTGAGAACTGTCTACGTTAAAATACGATTGAAATGTTAATGAAAAGATGCACCTGTCGAAAAATGCTTATCCTGATGGGGCAATTCAATAACTTCCTCGAGAACAGAAATTTCTAAATAATGGATTAAAAATTTACTATGACAAACTAAAGAAAGCCATGATAATGTTTCTACAATGCTCCCTTGTTCTTTTTGTTTCACCGGGAGAACGCAAAACAACAAATAAATAGGACAACAAACGATCCAACAAACAGGTGAACTGCTAAATAAACACAAAAAAATTAAATCACTTGATCCTAGCCTTGTCAGTAACCCATACACGGCTTGCTAGGGTCCCAGGTAAACGCCTCCTTTCGGTTTCAGCTGCGTTTTATCTCCCCTTGGAGAGCGTAAGAAGTTTTTTGTTTTCTAGCAAGAGATTCTCAAAGATAACATTTATTGATTCATGCACGGCATGGCCTGAGGTATCGTGCTCTTAATTTACATGTCTAAAACTCAGAGCTTCTCTATTCCTTTGGTTTTGAAGGAAGGAAACACGTCATTTTCTATCGAAGAAAAGCAGCTGCGAGGAGATAAATGTTAAGCGGACCACAACTGGCCACATGGTACATGCGGTTTTGGGTTGAGTTTGACTTCTCTGTAAGTTCGTATTAAACTTATGTTTTGTGCCTTGGTTGGACATGGAATGTTTTAGCTCTTGAGAGCGACATAAATTTCCAAGTACAAAATTTTCTACATACATTCCCAATATTCTTGTCTGTGAAGGCTTTCTCGTCAAATTGTTTGGGGCTATTGTTCACTATTAAAAAAGCGAGTTCGTGAATGCCAGCACTATAATTGCTAAAACACAAATGGACTAAAATACAAACTACTAGGTCACATCCCCTGTCTATCTGTTAAAGCTGTTAGGAGTGTAAATTGATGAGTTTTGTGTGGAATACCTTTCAGTTCTTTCACTCGTTTTACTGGCTTCCTGCGCCTCTCACTGCTTGTGAACAACACCCTCTGTTAATTTTTCTTTGAGCATATGCACTTAATTTTGTTACTGTCAATATTATTATTTGAAAATTTAATCATTATGCAGGGTCAGCTATGCGGATTTCATTATTACTTCTAAAAAAAGGTCAAGACTTCCTGTGGCATGTAAAATTAGACTTTGGAATAGCCATAAAAAACAGTTTCTAACCATCTAACATAAATTCAAGTAAAAGTATTGTGCATTGAATATGGAGATATAAAGAATATTTTTTTTTATTTACGTCAACTGGATAGAATTATTCATACACTCATGTTTCATGGACGTAAATATCACAATGGACAACCTGCACAAACTTCCTGTGTCAATCTTGTTATTGAAGCTTTAAGGCCTCCGGTCCTCCTTTGTTCTCACAGGTCTGAAAACTAAGACGATCCTTTGTCACGAAAACAATCTTACAAAAACATTTCAACTTGGGTAGTCATTTCCGGTCGTTTTATGGTTGAGATGAAGTCAATGCGATTACCGTTTAGCCCATAATTGGTTTCTAGTTCCACTTTATTTGTTTTTGATAAGGAAAAACCAGCGAGCTTAGCTTATCTGCAGAGAATACCTAACATTAGCCTTCTTACTCATGTAAATTTAACCTACGTCCAGAAATGAAATTTTAACAACAATTAAGACCGTAAGCCTATGATGATATTGGGCTTACGAGCTGCACCACGTATGAGTCCATTACGGGCTGATATAACTGGCTGGCGTAAAAGCGAAATGTTTTAAAGGGAAGGGGCGTCAGCTTGTGCTCTTTAAATAACTTAATGAAATGTTCAAAACCGAAGTTCAATGCGGAAGTTCGTTGCAATCATTGTCAGCCTTGTCCTCTTCCTTCCTTAAAGAAACCATGACAATTCGATGAACGTGATATATGTCTCTTTCAATTGAATTTCAAGTTTTATCAGCCTACATCATGATTAAGACTTCGTCTCTTGGAGATATAAAATAATTTTGAACTGTCAATATTTTTATTTGAAAATTTAATCATTATGCAGGGTCAGCTATGCGGATTTTATTGTTACTTCTAAAAAAAGGTGGAGACCTCCTATGGCATGTAAAATGAGATTTTGGAATAGCCATAAAAAATAGTTTCACACCATTAAGCCTAAATTCAAGGAAAAGTATTGTGCATCGAATATGGAGATATAAAGAATAACTGGATAGAATTACTCATACACTCTTGTATCATTGACGCAAATATCACAATGGAAAACCTGCACAAACTTCCTGTGTCAATCTTGTTATTGAAGCTTTAAAGCCTCCGGTCCTCCTTTGTTCCCACAGGCCTGAAACTAAGAGGGTGCATCCACGAAAGTGTTTGTTTAGGCTGGATTTTCAGCGGGGGCGTCTCTCGTTTACCTTGCTCACAGCATGACTGTCGCACCAAAAATTTACATTATGCAACAAAACTGTATGAATATCGTAAAATTTCCACGCCTTGTTGTAATGGTTCGTTTTATAACTAGTAGAAAAAATTACAATATTTTATTCAGCCTACTCGTGAACCATGGTAACCCCATCATATTTCTCTTCAGAAGTGCGGTTTCGTTTCATAATTCCCGACAAAAATACATCATTGTGGGACAAATTAAATGTAGCATAACCGGAAGTTCAAAATCTTCCTTCCGAATTCCTGCTCAGAATTGGCCAAAGTATAAACGAGTGAGTAGGGATGTATTTCAATGCTAAGATGAACAAGGATAGACAACTATTGTGGAAACTAGTTTTGTATAGTCATCCGTTCCACATTAGTTATTCACACTGGTTAATAGAGAGCCCTGGCCTTGCTAACCCTTACATACTTACTTCTGCATTAATTAACAAGTTCCGATTTGATATGAAGGCTGGCAGTCACGAAAACGTTGGAGCCTGAAAAGCATGACAAATTAATATGTGTTTTGATTTAGAATATTTCTCTTGTGTAAATATGAACTCCCTTGCAATATATCGAGCATTTTCGATTACTCCTTTAAGTGACTGGTACAGGAGTTTTGCGTGGTGGGGTTCCGCAATACTGAACAAGTTCCGCTCGCTTACCATTCTGATAACGTTACCTCGAGGCTCTGAAACATCGTATCTTATAATAGGAACTACTCACAAAAGAGTACAAGTCACAATTTACACAACACATATATGTAATTATCTTAGGTTCCAAATTTGCGTGAACTGATGCATTGGAATAAATATTCCATGCAATAGTTTTGAAATGAAATAAATCTCAACAGGAGTAGACGCATAACATTAGGCCTGTCTGTGTTGATGGCGTAATGTGGAGTGGATTGTGGTGAATGAGCCGTGATACATCAGTCACTAAAAGTGTCTTAAGATTTTCTGTTAAAGGTAATTAACATTTTGTTATTTTGACAAAAAGCAGTCGCTGAGAGGGTTTACAAGTCTTGAGTTCCAGAGTCCCAGGTAAGTTATACAAACATTCAATGACTTAGAGAGTATCTCTTGAGTGAATTAGTCATAGACATGAGACGAAAACATCTGAATTACCTTATATCAATGCAAAGCGAGAGAAAGCAAGAGGATTTTTTTAAGGGATGACCATGCGAAAATACAAGCATAATTTATAAAAGCCTGTTTAATGCACACACATACAGCTTGTTTGATAATCCAACCTGTTGAATCAATTCCGTCAGTGTGAGACACACGCCTTTCTTCTCGTGTTTCTCTCCGCTCGCATAAAAAAGCATAAAATGACGCTTATTCTGAAGGCTAAGGAAGCTCGATAGGGTTTTTTGACCGCGCGAGATCTGGGTGCGAACATAGTTGAACACAATACAGTTTTTATGTGATGGAATCTAGAGTTTCTAATTGGTGAATCTAATAGGGGAAAACTGTATATCTGAAAAGAGGGAAGATTGCTTTGTACGAAGCTACCAACAGTGATCTATGGTAAAGGTGTAAACGTTAAATTTGCAGTAGCGCTTGTGAATACTATGCTAAAGAACGGAAATTCCGTGACCTCTGTGGTGTGATAAGATCAATGACAAAAAGAAGGTAGATAAATTTAGTAACGATGTACTGTATTCACAAAGGGAAACGTGAAGCAGCTAGTGGATTATTCATGCTAACCAGTGAGTGTGATGAAGCACTGGCACAAGTCGACTTAAAAGGCACACGTGTGGCCCAACAGTTATGGATCCAAAACGGGAATTGGCGATATTTTCAATAACAATTTTAGTCCAGTATTTAGGTGCCAGTTTCGCATTCGCATGACAAAAAATTAAGAAACGCAGCGTCCCAGCGAAAAAAGGTCTGACAAAAAATAGTCAGTCGAAAAACCACTCCAAAAATTGGTCTAAAAACAGGTTCAAAAAATGTTCCAAAAAATAGTCCAATAGTCCAAGAGTCCAATGGTCTAGTCCATATTTTACCCTATATCGACAAGGGACAATTTATCGATATCGACTGATAGCTATTGCTAGCAGATGTACAACGTAAGTGCAACAACGACGCTACTAAATAAAAACACAATGCTATCCACACCCAAAGGATCCAGCAAAGATGAAAACATGAGTAAATTGAGAGTTTAAAACCCTTTTCAAACTCTTCTCTTCTACAGAAATCACGAGACATCTAAGAAATCACATGATAAGATGATAAGAATCCATGTGACTTATGACGAAATCAAGCGGATTATTTCCTTTCCGAAGGGAGAAGAAGTTTATAAATTGCGCCCTCATTTCATCCTGGCCTTCTCTGATGTGTTATCGGGTGATATTGCTCCTGAGCATGTCACTTTTCAAGAGTTCCATGAGGACTTTAAAGACTTCGCGGAACTTCGTTCAGATGCAACGCTCGACAATGACATAAAAATCCGAGCCATAACATTAAAAACGCCGAAAAAGGTACTTTCTGTCTACAAATGCATTGTGCAAAAAAAGCATGTCACAATAACAATGATTAAATAAACAAACAAGCAAATTATGTGACTATATCAAAACAGGCATGAACGGCAAAAAAACTATCCATGTCCGATGAAACCGTCAATTTACTCATGAATGAGTGCTAACCTGTTATTATTTATCTGTATTTAACACATTTAACTCATTCACTAAATAACTAAAATACCTGTACATCAGGATTAATTCAAGATTAGTGAAGTACTTTCGATCTACGTTAGGTCCGGCCAAAACGAGAAAATATTTGCTTCTTCATGACCTCAGCCAAATATTTACACATATGTCTCTCCTATCAAGTCAACAAGTATATATTATTTTACCGACGATAAACAGTACATGTACTAAAAGTAAGACGGAAAATAATCAACATCATAAAGAAAACGATGGGACGTACATCACATTGCTCAAAGCTAACGTCAGCAAACAACAACTAACTTTTGAGGCCCTTTTCTTTCCGGTGAAAAAAATGAACCGTGATTTAAATCAAAGCGCAGGATTTGGATGTAAATCTATGAGGAACTAATCGACTGCTGTTCAATAGTTATAGGTCCTTGCTTAATAACACCTCTTTAACATTTCTAAGTGTTGGGGTTCAGATATCCATTCTTGTGTGACTCGCTATCCCCAGGTGTCTGTGTATTCGATATCATCAACATTACCCCCTGAGGTAAAGCCTCATCCCATTAAGCAGTACGTACGTTACCGCTTCTGGAATCTGGTCTGTAACGGTTTGATTCGAATAGATGTATCGACTGGAACACCAAGGGTAAAAGGAAATGGTAGTTTTGGAAACAACCCAGACAGTAAGTAGTTGTAAAATTTTTGCTCTCAAGCGGTACTGCTCTTCAAAGGACGGATAAATCAATCCAACGGATAATTCGCTGTACTTTGGATAGGTTTTAACAAAACGTACTGTGCTATTCACCGGATAGAAATCTACCCAGCGGATAACGTTATCCACCCTTTAAACAGCTAGAGCCGGGTATTACGAATAGCAAGTATGTATCCCTTTTTGTCTGAATTCTCATTAGATAAAAATACCCGTACAGGACTACGCAGCGATGAAATCTGGAATAAAAATGGAACATTAAAACAACAAATAGACCAGCAGGAAAGTGAAGATAAGAAAAAGACTGACAGACCAAAAAAAAAACCAAATGGATGGTTCATAGGAAGGAAGAAATATAGACAAGAGTTTTAGTAGGCTATTGTATTCTTTTCAAAATATTTGGCTGGTACTAGAACCTGTTGCAAAAGAGTTTGTCGACTCAATGGAGCAACCACTAATTGAATGTCACGTTCCTTTCCAGCGATTGTGCAAGCTGAAGCAATTGGTTTTGACTTATTTCATATATATTTCAAATATGGTGAATTGAAAATGTACATTACATCACAGGGTGAAGGAAAGACAATCACTGCAGAGGTAAGTAACTTTCCTCCTCAAACTAAATTTAAATGAAATCTGATTATCCATTCAGAAAAAAGCTTTAATCCCTTAACTACTAACTCCACTGAGAGGGGTCCTATGCCGGTAACCGGTCAAGTCGCCCGAAAGTCATCTCGCCCGAAGTCATGTCGCCTGGAATGAGAGTCGTGTATCCCGAAATTCATAGTCATGTCGCCCGAGATTTCATCGAGTGTTTAATCGTGAAGAAAAGTAACAATCGCAAGGAATAAACTCGTAAAATGTTGACTCGTGATATGTTTTCGTCCGCTAACCTATGCAATTATGAAGCTAAACAAAGACTCAAATACCGCGGTTAATTTCAGCGTTAATCGTTGCTACGGAACTAAACTGCTCATTCTACAGTACAGATTGAAAAAAGTAACAATCGCAAGGAAGTGAACTCGAAAAATGTTGACTCGAAAATGTTTCCGTCCGCTAACCTATGCGAATGTGAAGTAAAACAAAGACTTAAATATCGCTGTTCATTTCAGCGTTGAAAGTTAACCTACCGAATTATAGATGATGGGATAGACCATCCATCGAAAAAAGAAGTCAATTGACTCAAGGGGCTTCACCTACAATGTTTTTTTTATAACGAACTTACCTTAAGTTGACATTTGAATTTGTTTTCAAGGGGCGGGTGTCACTTGGACAACCCACACATCCTCGCGTGTAATTAGGTTTAGTAACTATGTTGCTATATGTTTGTATTAATGTGTGTCTGAATTTACCGCAACGTCACAATCTTGCTTAGCAACCATTTGATGATTCTTGAGCACGTGCTGTATTCAAGATGGCGGTGTTTTCCAATGTTCCAATCGTAGTGATGTGAACCTTCGTTCGAAACAGAATGCTTCCACAGATAAAACAACAGTTAGAACCATACTGTAACTGATATTACTATTTTTTTTTATTTTCGTTTTCTATTTTAGGATTACTATCTCCGTGATATCAAAGACAACGAAACGAACAACCTGAGTTTCATGAGTCAACATTTTACGAGTTTGTTCCTTGCGAGTCCGGTCCGGTCGATTTTGCTTGAGACACAGATTTCGCTCATTTCTTGTGTGTTGTAAGACATTCATGTACCTATACTAAAACCACAATCAGTTTGATCGGATCTCTTTATTTTTCAGAGTTTTACGGGAATTAAATTTCACTCGAACGAAAGCTCGTCATGACACTTTTTGGCACCTACTTCCTAGCTATGTTAGTTGCATCAGTTAAGAACGCCTCACTTTTTCAAAAATTTACCTTGAATTTGATCTGTTTTGGCGTGTGTGACTTAAGCGAACCGATAAGGTGTCATTCAAGTCGTCCTGTTTGCTTGATTGAAACGTGATGTCCGCGAAAGTCGCCTTGATAGATAAGATAGAGTTAATATACATGGCTGTGGTATTTGGTCTTTGCTGAGTTCCGTAGTTTTTTGTAAATTGTCATCCAAAGTTGTCTTAAATTCAAGTCCTGAAAAGTGTCACGACAAGCCTTCGCTCGAGTGAAATTTAATTTCCGTAAAACCCCTAAAAATTAAGAGATCCGATCAAACGGATTGTGGTTTTAGTATAGGTACATGTATGTCTTACAACACACAAGAAATGAGCGAAATCTGTGTCTCAAGCAAAATCGACCGGACCGCTCTTACAGAGACACTCTCTTAAGATGTTACTTTTCTTCAAGTTTAAACACTCGATAAAATTTCGGGCGACATGACTATGAATTTCGGGCAACATGACTCTGGTTTCGGGCGACATGACTTCGGGCGAGATGACTTTCGAGCGACTTGACCGTAAATCCCTATGCCAACCCAAATGGATTTATCACTTTTCAGAGTTTTAGCTTGTTTTGAGTTTTAGAGACCGGTTTATTTTTACATCTCCGGGGTCTGACATTTGACTGTTGCTCTCTAACTTTCGACGTACTAAGTGCGTCATGAAGGTACACAATATGCAAATTTCGTGGGGACGCATACCTTTTGCACACAGAACTAATGGTCATGAACTTTAGGCGACCAGTAAAAATGGAGAGAAACACTGAAAGTACTTCTTTCAAATTGGTAACGAAACATGCAGCTTCCATGTGAATCACAACAGAGGGTTCTACGTCATGTATTTGAGTGTAAAATCAGCTGTAACGAAAAAAAAAAGGTCTTGTGAATTCTAGTAGAAACATCTTCGCAGTTATACACAAAATGTTGGCAAACGTAAAAATTAAGCCCGGTAGTAGACGGGCTCGAGTTCATGAGTGTCCAAAGATATACCTGACTCTCGCCAACTGAATTACGTATTCGCAAGGTACATTGCTAAAGAATCGGTCTCATTATTTATCACTTAGAGAAGGGGTGGGGAGGGGGGAAATTTTTTGAAGGGGGGATCACACAAAAATCCTCCATACCCCCAGATGATAAATTATGACAGGTCACTTCCCCAAGTGATGTCTTTTTTCCACATGTTCTGTCGGATCTCATTAAGAGCATTTTAGAGAGCGAGAAGTTCTGACCAAGATATTTTTTTTTTTATAATCTCTTCTTCTGACATACCCTAAATGGTTGGTTAATATTTTCTACTGATGCAAATAGTTTAATATTCTAATGAACGTTGTTTTCAGCCGAGTCCAACAAAATATTCAGAGTTTACGCCTGACTATTACTGGAGCTACACACTTTTTAAGAGCATGGCACCGGAGAACGAAAATTTGTACCTCGGCTGTGAGAAAAACCAAAATATGACCCTGGTGCGCATGTCCAGTGTTCAATACCCAGTTCCACAAGCTCTGTTCATTGTCACCCAAGAATGATATTGAAAATAAGCCATGAACGATTACGTTTATTTCTTTAACCAAGTTATAGCAAGTCTTTAGTAAGCGAAAAATGTATCAAATTTTAGTGACAATTGTACTTGTAATTAAGTTCAGCAAGATGCACCCTAGTGGTTTTCAAAAGGAGGCAGTGAAACCGCAGTAAGTTTCCCGAAGTCCTATTTCTACATTTAATCATTTGCATTGTTGACAGGAAGTGAGGTTGCCGGCTACTTTCGCAAGTTTGAGGCCTCCTCTTATAGGGCTTTCTTTATTAGCTTCTGATTTAGTTTAGTTTCAAAACAAATAAATGAAATATAAAATCATGGTTCATCCATCTGCATTATGATCTTGTCTTTAAATTAGTCTATTCTTCATTTATATTCATTATATTAATTACTAAATTGTTTTCTACCTTTAGAAGTTCCTTGATGGTATGTAAATCAGGGCGTTATCATGCAATAAATTATCTGTTGTTTTAGAAAGCTGATTTCTCCTGGCTTTTGATGAGGACATGTTGACCTCTGTTAGATAGATACCTTTCATTAAGGCTGTTTTTTTTTTTTTGGGTGGAGAGGGGAGGGTCTCAACTCATTCTTAACTCTTACTAATTACTGGAGTGCGTCATCGAGAGAGAAGTTCCTGGTTACAAAATCTTTCAATACTTTCGATAGGAAATTTTAGTCTAACCGAAAAAAAGGGGGAAAACAGGAAGACAGTGTTAAAATTCCGAAATGTATTAATTGCATCAAGCAATATTGCAATGTAAACACGAGTTCCCTTACCTCTATATTTCTCTTATAAAATTACCGACAAAGGGCAGAAAGTTAAGAACAGAAAAATGATCTTTACTTCGATCAGTACATGTTGAAAAATTTTCACGGTATATTTTCCATATCGCCACAAAACGGGATGTAGAAAGAATATCTAGTGATTTCCTCTGCATTGTCACTGATGTGTTATCAATACACAGTCATATAATGAAAAGCTCATGATCGCCTTCGAGCATTCCTTCTCTACACGTAAAGCGAAAGGAATCGGGCTCTTCTGATTAATATCTGTAATATAATCAACCGCGATAGCCATATGGAGAGAAGATGGAAAAAGGTGGCAACAGTTTGAAGGAGTAAAAGCAGATATATCATGGCAAATGCAGTTTTCTGCAGATACTAAATACTGCAGACACTTGAACGAGATACTACTCTCAAAATCGAGCAGTATTGTACAAATCAAAGACGTCATAATGAGGAGTATTCGCTGTGACACTGCTCAAGGAAAGCAAATGTGAATATTGGAACGAAAGTTCCGTGTCATAACATCACTTTCCGGTTTTTCTAGGAAAGCGATGTACCTACACGGAACTTCCGTTGAACCCAACTGTTTCCATGACAAATAAACACGCACGCGAGTAATATCGGTGTCGGAAATGGGGTCAGAAATGTGTCAATAGCTTCCGGTCAAGTTATTTACAACTACAGCTATTTAAACGTAGCAGACCAACTCGTATTTAAGATTGAGCAGTGCCGGCAACCGACCTCGCTTGCCAAAGGATCCCGGAGACCAGCGAGTAAAGAAGAGTAAGTATACGTATGCGTTAACAAACATTGCACAACGTCTTCTTCCAGCTACCATTATACACGTCAGATTTAAGTTAGGATTTGACATTTCTGCAGTAAAAATTTCAACTTTCTAAGTTATTATTTAGTGTTATCAGTCATTATTTTCTCCATGAAGCGGTTGAGAGCTTCGTATATACATAACTTCGTAATTATTACGAGGTGTTCGCATAGGGTTTAAAAAACTTATGCTTATGCTGCCTCAGAAACTGTTCCTTATTTCTCCGGTGCTTTGTTATGCACGATCAGACAGTCACGCGCGAGCAGTCAGTAAAGCGCCACTTTTTACGATACACACAACAATGTCACACCCAAAAAGGAATTAATCTTTAAAATTGCTGAGAGGTGTTCAAATTTCAACGAAGTAATGGGGGATTAGGAGAGAGATGTTCGTAAAATGGAATCATCTTTTAGAATGAAATGTTGGCTTTTCTGTGTTTTTAACGTGTATTTTACCGTGCTCTATGAGAAATGCGATATTACTGAACAGATTACCTATGGTAAACGTGTTACTCATGCTGTGAAAATGGTGGATAGTTGTTCAAGAGAAAATGGAGTTTTGTGCACTGTAGCACGATCATGCTTATTGTTCCTTCACGACGAGAGTGATTGGAAAAATTTTGAATCAAATATTGCTTGAGGTGTTGATGAATTGCACCAAACATTTTGATTTGAGCAGTTCTTTAACGGCAAGCTGTGTTGCAAGATTCATTATTTGTTGAGTGTGCCGATTATATTTTTCTGGATTGGTTTGCTCGTCGCGATCTCCAGATGAATGTCTGATTAAAATTAACTATGGACGATTTTGTGTATGTTTTGGATGCCTGGGGAAAGTGATCTTGTGGAGTCGTTTGTGTTTGGTCAAGGACGATTTCAGATACCATCTTTAGCATGTTTATCTGATTTTGTTATCTGGAATGAATGAGTTACGGAGGTATGTTAATATGACGTGTCTACTAACGTCGAAAATATATCAAGTCGATGGAACAATTTTGGTCTCGGTCCGCATTTTTGTCAACAAAATAAACACACCGCTTACAAAGATGATAATACGGACCACGTGCAAAGCCGTTCTCGAATGTTGCGTGTGTTTAACATTCAATAGTGACATCTCGTTTACATCTACGTCTACATCTACTTTTATTACGTTGGTAAAATCGATACAGACATCACACCAACCAACTCGCATGAAAATTGAGAAGACTATATGAAGGCTTAAAATTATATTACGATCGATTTTTATCTAGAAATGGGCCAGGTATATTCCAAAATAGTGCAAATAATCGTGAAAGCTGATCGCGGAAAAGCGATTGCGTGACGCTCGGTAAGTCGTAAGATGACATGTTATCACATACCAGACGAAAACACTCTTTAGATTCTTAGTCTGCATTTTGTACCCACTCTGCTGTCTAAATTTTGTACCTAGTCTACAATTTGTATCCGGTCTGCAGTCTGCAGTCTGTATTTTGTACTAACAGGTATCCGTCGCACCAATACAGTTTATTTTTGGTTACAGTTCTTCGCACAACACACAATCTACCACAAAATACATGTGTGTAAGTTAATTCGACATTTTCGTTCTTTTCCGCGTTAATACTCTTCTTTCCTTTTGTAAGAATGTAGACATCACTTACAATGTTTCAAGTAATCCACCCACCCCCCAAAAATAACTCTTGCATGCATAGCATGCCTATGTTTACCTGTTGTGATCAATCTCACGATAGAACACGCATTAAGTGTTTGAGATTTAAGACAATTGATATCACAGGTTACCTAATCGATATCGACTGATAGCTGTTAGTTAATTAATATCGATTGGTATTAGCAAATCGATATGACAGTTACAGGAACTAAATCCATTGCTAGCAGATGTACAACATAACGCTACTAAACAAGAATGCAATGCTATCCTCACCCAAAGTTCCAGCAAAGATGAAAACATGAGTAAATTGAGAGTTTAAAACCCTTTTCAAACTCTTCTCTTTACAGAACAGAGATGCCTAAGAACTCACACGATAAGATGATAAGAATCCATGTGACTCATGGCGAAATCAAGCGGATTATTTCCTTTCAGAAGGGAGGAGAAGTTTGTAAATTGCGCCCTCATTTCCTCCAAACCTTCTCTGATGTGTTATCGGGTGATATTGCTCCTGAGCATGTCACTTTTCAAGAGTATCTTGGGGACTTTAAAGACTTTGTGGAACTTCCTTCAGATGCAACACTCGACAATGACATCAAAATCCGAGCCGTAACATTAAAATCGCTAAAACAGGTACTTTCTGTCTACAAATGCAGTGTGCAGAAAAAGCATATCACAGTAATAATAAAATAAAGAAACAAGTAAACTATGTGATTATGTCAAAACAGGCATGAACGGCAAAAAAAACATCCATGTCCAATCAGACCGTCAATTTGCTCATGAATGAGTGCGAACCTGTCATTATTTATCTATATTTAACACATTCAGCTCATTCACTGATAAATATAATACACAAGGATTAGTGAAATGCGTTCGATCTATATTAGGAATAATTTCCAGTTTTGATCCAGTAATTTCGGATTTTCATCTCTTCTGTGGGTTTATCTCGTGTATTATCTCTCAATCAGTAAATAATGCGTGAAGATAGTGTGATACAGACAGAACGTCACTAAAAGGTCTTTCATTTCCTTGGATAAAATAGAGACGGTTACAGATGGAAAATGATTGGCATACTATTAATGTTTGTTGTACGTTGGCTTCACATATTTATCTGAGCAGTTAAGCTTTAAAAGTACCTTAATAACCTGTCAGTAGGTCATTTTTTCGTATCTTTAAGCATTAATTAAAATATTTTGCCACATTCCTCCCTAGGCTGCACAAATATCTTCCGCTGAGATTCAACAAGACATGGAACTCCAACGGTGGCCCCGATTGTGGCCCCATTGTCACTTGGTGTATCCATGTTTTCCAATACATGATTTAGGGCCGGGTTCGCCGATGTTTTCAAGGCTTCATCCAATCAAAATAAATACTACATACCAACTTTGGAGCCCAGTCAGCAAGATAAACGATGGTTGCATTGAACGTCATTCGCACAATAATATAGTAAATTGTAAAGGGAATTTCAACAATGGAATTAACAGTAAGTTTGACGTTACGACTTTTAAGCAGGAACAAAGAAATAACTTGGAAATCATCATCATCATCACCATTAACATCGTCGTCGTCATTGTCTCCGTTCTCGTTGTCACTTTAATTGCCCTATCTAGATCATTCTCATTATAATAGTTATCATTAACATTATTACATCATTTCTATTATTGCTGTCATCTTCATTACTATAGTCTGTCATTGCTCGGCCTGTTTTAACTAAATTCTCCTCTGACTTAACACATGTACATGCTCAAGTAATCCATTGAATCCTGTCCATGTCTGCAAACAGTTGGTCATTACAATTGTTTTTTTCTTCACTTCCTTTAGCTGTTATGGAAGCTATTGATGAAACAAGCATTTTGACCTTCTACGTGGCGCTTCAGTTTAAAGATAGTTCAAGTGGTAAGGATTATGTACTGACTGGAAATGCAGAAGGAGAGGATATTACCTCCACAGTAAGTAACAGCTTTAAGTTTAACTCTTTACGGTAGCCAATTCACATTATCAACTCAGTTGATAAATCCAAATTATCTTGTAATACTCCCACCCCATCGACGAACAACATAGTTGTTTAGCAACTTACGTTCTTGATTCTAAAGATAGACTGACCGACCAACCGACTGACTGACTAACTGAATGACCAACCGACTGAATGACCCACTGACTGACTGACTGACCAACCAACCAACCGACTGACTGACTAACAGAATGACGGACTGACTGAATGACCGACTGGCTGACTGACTGGCTGACCGACCGACTGACTGACTGACTGACTGACTGACTGACCGACTGACTGAATGACTTACTAACTGAATAACTGAGTGACCAACCGACCGACCGACTGACCAACTGACTGACTTACTGATTGACTGAATGACTGATCGACTAACTGAATGACCGATTGACTGACTGACTGACTGACTGACCAACTGATTGACTGACTGACTGACTGATCGACTGACTGACTGTCTGACTGAGATTGTGCTGCGATCTTATCAATGAAAGTTGGTCTGTTGTAATTATTGCATCTTAATGTTTGGACCCAGCTTAACTCTACGTTACTAACATCCGTGTCACAACCACACATGTTTTGACATCGATAGATGCTTAAGGCACGGGTCCGTTTTCCGCCGGGCCTTGAATTTCCTATTTGTAACAACCAAGTTTTATGTTGAAACTAATAACTTATTTTCAAATAATTCACAAGGAAAATGGTTCCGCTTTAAGTTTTGATTACTTTTTCTGTCATCTCAGTAAGAGTCTAACTATAAAAAAAGGGAATAAGGTTGGATTTGCTGGTCTTCTACCTTAACAGGAGGTACAAAATGGAGTGCCACTCAACGATAAATGTATCTTTTTGCCCCTTTACTACTGGAGTTACACCATGTTCCAAAACAAGAAAGATAAGACCCTATACCTGGGTTGCGATCACACTGGAAAAGCAACATTAGTGAAAAATGCTGACCTCGACTATCCCAACCCTCAAGCTCTGTTTATTTTAAAAAGAGTTGTTCAAGTTCAGTAACTCCCTTGTGAATAAAACTGGCTTCAGAGCCCAATAAAGATCACGACTTTTCCCCACTTTGCCATTTTATCATAATCTTTAGAGGCATATGTTAGCCATGTTTTGTAACAGACTCATCAGATTCGATGGAATAAAGAGTTAATTCGACGTTTTCAAGCCTCCGAGATAGGCGTTCATTTCCCTCCGTTTGTAATGTAGAATAAGGTAGAATACAAGCATGACGCAGCTTTAGATAAAAGAAATGTAAATAAAAACTTTCCAACACTTGAATTCAATTTCTACTTTAAATAACAACAGAAAGAAAAGAGAAAGGGGAGGGGGATACAGGAAAAGAAAAGGGCGATATAAAACTACACAAGGGAAAGAAGACGAGTTAAAGGTAGAAGGTGCGAAGAGTTAATTTGAAGATTAGTCTGCAATGCCCACCTATCACTAGTAAGTCTGCTTTGCAGCTTGTCTAGAGGATGTCACGCGCCGCCCCCAAAGAAGAGACTAACGTTTGATGTACTCAAGGGTACACCTGTTAAACTCGATCGAGTACATGAGGTCGAGGCTCATGTTCGCTAATTGGGAAATTATTTTGAAATGAGAATCTTGTTTTCTTCAAATGCATGGTCCTCTCTCACAGCTGAAAACTTTCCTCGTCAATAGACAGGAGCCAAGTCAAAGAGGACAAGAGAAATGACGATAAATTTTCTTTGATGTGCGTGGAAAAAGGATTGATTTCCTCTGAAATTCTACATCAGTCTATCGTTCAATTTAATTAAACAATATTCTACCAATCGAACACCTTTCATGTCCGTGAAATATACCAAAGAGTTTAAAATGATAGAAAACAATGGAAATAAAAAGAAAAGAAAATTTATGATTTCATTCACAAGCCAAACCGAACTTGCAGGGAAATGATTTGCTGGTCAGGAATCTGCCAACTGTACTAAGCAATGTGTACAAGTAACATAACATAACAAAAAGTAATGTGACATGTTCTACACTAAGAACACGGCTTAGAAGGCCAACACAAGATTATTTGAAATTTAAATTTCCCTGATATCTTTTGAAGATGTATTTTTCACCGACTCATAGTAAAATTCCCTGACTTTTCCCTGACCTGGAAGTAACTTATTCTTTTCTGACATTTCCCTAACCTATGGCAACCATGAGTATATCCACTGATTTGTTCAGTGTAAATATTTTTTGTCTCGTTTAGGATTTTACTCCAAAACAATTTCGGCCTGTGGTTGTAAGTCAATCGAAGTCGGACTTCCTACGACCAGAAAGATTCATAGTCATACGAACACTTCTAATCCCCAGGGGGAATGTCACTTGTACCCTTTAGTCCTCCCCCCTCCCCCTTCATCTAATCCTTGATTCTTTTGACACTGGTGGTAAGGGGTAGGATCTTTGGATGGCTTTCTGCTAAAATGCAAATTATTCGTCCTAAATGATGTAATGGATCGGGTAAGACATCCCTCTTATTGACTTCAACTGGCTTTCCCACACTGTACTGGTATTTCAACCATAAATTTACCTTCAAGTCGTTTGAAGTTGTGAAAAAATCAATTTTCATATTCTCATTTCTATAGGATCAAATGCATTTACGCCCTATCGTATCTTTGTGGCATCTGTTTGTCTCCTCTTCAAATATCATCTTCTATCAATCCCATCATGTAGTCCAACTGTTTCTCGGTGTTACTTCGAAGAAGAGAGAGATATCACTGGTATAAATGGTGGTTTGCTCGATCTTTCCACTGGAAAGCCGCGCAGAAACTCGCGTTAGCGGTGTTCGCGTGGTCGCAGTCGCACTCCAGACCCAAACAGACCTCTGCCCCAACAGACGGTTAACTTGAAACTATGCTCTCGTTATTTATGACTCTGTCTGATTTTTTTATTGCATTACTTCATTAGCATAATTTTGCGTGATTCTATGGAGTTATTTATTACTTGCAATCCTTGTTTCACTGCCATGATATAGCACACACAGTACATAATCTTGGACGAATTCTCAACAATTTTTGCAATTCGTAGACCTTTCCGGTCAATTCATCTGTCGTGAGTGCGGAACAATAATAAGACAATACAGTACTTACTTACTGCTTCAATGTTTATTTGATTTATCCCACTAAATTTGATATCTATTTCGCAAAAGTTAGTGATCATCTACAACATTTATAAGTAACCATTCGGTGAATGTGCTGACATCTAAACACTCATCAACGTAAAATTTGACGTAAATCACCTACAGCTAAATATGACCCCGCATAACCTTAAAAAGATTGGAATATTCCCTTGTGTTTTCTTTCCCGGAATCGAACTATAAAGCAACCCTTCTCCAAGACAGTATATTTTGTTACCTCTCAAGAAAATTTCCCGGTGAAAAGACGGGTTGTGCCGAAGAAAACTCTACACAAATGAGGGAAGCATTTCAATTATTCACGACCTCTAACTACTGTATTTACATGAGGTAAAAATGAGTACAGTTCTGAGAGACAAACCCCGGACCGTGCAACGCAGCTGTAACGCATGAGGCATTTTCAGGAAAGAAAACGAAACCGGACGACAATAAAACGTCCTCTTAAGGAAAATATTAACAATGGGGTTCAGCGAACAACGCTTATTTGAGTTTGTTACTGCTTATTTCTTGATTGGTAAGCGCACAAAGGGACAAAGCGTTTCAAGACTTCTACATATTTAAACATACATTTCAACGCATCGTGAGGAGTGTTGTGGATTGACCGAGAAACTACTGAATCTACTTCTAACAGGGCTGTTTTTAATTAAAGCTGGTGACTCATTCAAAACGTTAATCTCAAACTTTATCCGGTTCTAAGATAATAATAAGGTTTGAGGATCTGTCCTATCTCTCTGGCACTTTCACATGAAAGAAGTATTCGCTGTGGCACTGCTCAAGGAAAGAAAATATGAATATTGGAACAAAAGTTCCGTGACAGTACATGGCTTTCCGATATTTCCGCAAACTAGAAAACTTCTTTTGGGGCCCAACTGTTTCCATGACAAATCAATAAGCACGCGAGCAATGTCGGCGTCGGAAATTGGGTCAGAAATGGGTCAATAGCTTCCTGTCAAGTTATTTACAACTACAGCTATTTAAACGTAGCAGACCAACTCGTATTTCAGAATGCGCTGTGCCCGACCGACCTCAATTGTTAGAGTATCCCGGAAAACAGCGAATAAAGAAGAGTAAGTACACATATGCGCTAACAAACATTGCAAAACGTCTTCTTCCAGCTACCATTACACACGTCAGATTTAAGTTGGGATTGGACATTTTTGCGTAAAGATCTCAGTGTTAGTGTTATCAGTCATTATTTTATCCATGAGGCGGTTGAGAGCTTCGTATAACCATGACTTCGTATAAACATAACTTCGTAATTATTACGAAGTGTACGTCTGGGGTATACCATGCACCAAGTGAGAAGGAGCTGAAAACGAATGCAAAAACTTATGCGGCCTCAGAAACTGTTCTTTATTTCTCCGGTGCTCCATTATGCACGATCAAGTGAGACACGAGGAGTGATACGCGCTCGAAGGGTGAGACTCGCGCCCTTCTTCTCGTGTGTGACTCCACTCGTCTAAAAAAGCAGAAAATGACGCTTATTCTGAAGGCTACCTTAACACAGGTTATAATTTCTGTCCAGTTTCTCCTCGTATTTATATAGGGAATAAAGGAAAGTGAGACAAATCAGTAATGTCTAACCGGTTCCCTTTAAAAGAAAGATAAACCCGAGTTAAAGATGGCGATGTTTTATTGATTGAGGGGAATCATACTTACCGTTAACTTTTCCTTGTGCTCTTCAAGCTCTTCCAGCGTCAGTTCGTCTTTCTCGTGAGTTTTTCTTACGAGCGAGATTCAACCAGGTTGCATAAGAGGATCAGCTCAATGAACTGTAATGAATCTCGTTGTCTGAGGTCTGAGGGCTTATCGCATGTGATTTCCTTTTCTTTAAGCGAAAGAAATTAATGTAACCTTAAGTAAGCTTTAACCCACCTCTAAGAAAAACTGTCACCGAAAAAACCCGGCGGGCAGAGTGGGATGGCAACAAGTGTTTCGTAAAATTCGCTTCTCTGGTTTTCAAAGTGTAAATGTTAACTTTCACGTTCTGATTGTCCACGCTCTGCTAGTTTCGCTATAATTTTTTTTGTCGCGTAACTGCTTATTTACCACAACACTCCCATAAATAAGGCATCAACGTCGTGCAAGTCGTTGTAAACTATTGGTTATACTGGATTCAAGGTCTGTTGTAGAAATAAATGTATCTGGAGTGTCTTTTAGGCGAATTTTACCATAATTATGATCATTGATCAGATGTGCTTATTTGGTATCGCTATATGATTTGTTACCGACAGTTCCTCTGAAACTTCCACAGTAGTATGGCAGTTGTTACACGGAAATCTTGGGTGTTTCAGGGTGCCAGGGCCTTAGGAACCCTATATGGAAACAAATCACTGCGTCACCACGATGGAATTCCGGTTCTGAAGAGGTAAATCAAGTGGCTATAAATAATCTTTCTGGCGGAAAATAAGAAAAATCCTGCTACTGTATTAAGCCAGGAGCCATGATGGGCTCCTGATTAGGCTCAAAAATAATACTGATCTTCAAACATTCTTTCTCGTATCCAAGATGATTAAGAAACTAAACCCCGTGATTCTAAACAAAACAAAGCCTTAAGATACCCCGACCCGCACCGGGTACGGGTAGGGCGCCATATTTGACCATATTTGGTAATGACATCATCTCACTACAAGATAACCTAGCCGTTTATCCAGGGTAGATGGCATTTAACGCGTGGTTACTTACGGGAAAGACGGGGAAGCTGAGAAGACCAGCAAAAGACGTTCAGAAAAGTGTAAAAGTCAAAAGAACGAAAGTGTAAGTCAATTTGTGCTGCCTAATCGGTGTTATACCAAGAAAAATTTACCGAAAACCAGCTGACTGGTCATTGGAAGCAACGAATGGTGGAGACTGGTTCGAAGTCGAAAAATTCCTTTGGCAGACAATATTGTACCAACCATTTTTGTGAACTTTATCAAACTTACGTGGCCAAAAAGCCGCCATGTTTACCAAAAGTCAAGAAGTTATTCCCAGTCCTCCCATGTTTAGTCCGGGTTACTTGAGTTGATCTTCCCGCCACATTTCACGCGTACGGCTACCGGTAAAAGCCGTCTAACGGAATCGGGGTATATTAAGGTCCCTATTTCTTTATTTCTTTTGATTTGCATACGTGGGGGAGGGGGGAGGAGGGAAGGGAGTCTTAGAAGAACGATTGTTCGTTGAAAAGGTTCTGTTGAATGTCTCGAATATGCCTAATGTCTCTAATGATTAACTCACTCTTAGAACAAAACGTGTTTCACTTTGGCGTCTTTAAGGGATCGTAAAAAAAATTAAGTTTCCTGTTCAGCAGGCTCAATGCAAGGTTGAAACCAATACAAGGACTTAGTCACCGCCAACAGTTCCTGTGTCCAAAAACTTAAGTTGGGAATGGTTTCACAACAGTATCGAGATCAGAGAGACACTGTCGTACAAATTGCCAAGTTTAGTCACACACATCCATGTAATCTTTAGATCCGACTTCGACAACTACAAGCTATCTTTCTTACCTTGGGACTCTTATGCGATTGCACTGCATAAGAGTCCCAACACATTTCTTCAGAATGTATAACTGGATAGCTCAATAGGCGCGCTGCAAAGTTATGATTTGCGATTAGCAATTAATTAAAAAGATCAGTTCCCCTCGAAATTTTTTCCTTAAATGTGGCTGACCTTTCATTGTTTTGGTTCTAAAACACGGCGATGGATGGTGAACGGTCCTTGGGATGGAGATTGCGTGATCATACCCGTGTAACGGTTTGCCTGTATCTGCAATCATAACCTTTTTTTCATATTCCTTTCATCTCCTTTCCATGTCACTTCTTTTCAATAAGAGAAATTCAACGAAAGTGTTTATCTGAATAGGACTGGGGTACGCGAAAGTCTTACGCTACTGACAATTATCTTACCAAACTTTTCAAACAAACTTTTTTTGCCTCACAGGAAATTGAGCAATGGAAAGGAGAGTAAACTTGAAGCTCTAGTGACCTTTGGGGAATCTAAGCGCATTATACGCTTTAAGAAGGGAGACGATTTGAAAACCTTTCGTCATCATTTCCTATGGGCCTTCTCTGATATTCTCTCAGAAGATGTTGCTCCGGGGAATGTTAAATTTCAGAAATTTGATCACAACTTCAATGAATATGTGGAAGTCAAACATGACCTAGGGTTGGAAGAAAATGACAAGCTGAAAGCCATAGTCATTCTAAAGAACGAGAACAAGGTATACACGTTTTACAGTAATGTCCTTAATCTTAGCTCAGTACGGCCGAATAGCCAGAAACAGGAGCCTATAGGCATGGAAAGTTAAAAAATAAATAAATAAAATACTGCTCATTTGCAGGGTACCTCATGAGATGTTCTAGTGAAGCAACATTGTGTCAGAAGACCTGAAATTGACGTTCTTTTAACTTGATTCATCTTTTCGGAAGCATCTGCGCGTGCAAAGGCTTTTATTGAAAGATTTTAAAAAATCCCCGTAAGAGGGCCGTACGAGATGGTGCGGGAGGGTCCTAGAAATTACGCACGTACGGCAATGCACGATGCAAAAGGCAGGAAGCAAATGTAAAAAGACATAACGTGGCGGTCGTATGATATTGAACGAGTTAGGTCCGGGCAAAAAGAGAGAATATTTGATTCTTCATGACCTCAGCCAAATATTTACCCTTACGTCTCTCCTATGAAGTCAATAAGTACATATTATTTTATTGACGATAAACATGCAGTAAATGTACCTAAAGTAAGAAGGAAAATAACTAACATCTAGAAAACTGTGTCAAAACAGGCATGAACGGCAAAAAAACCATCCATGTCCCATCAGACCGTCAATTGGCTCATGAATGAGTGCGAACCTGTTATTATTTATCTGTATTGAACACATTTAGCTCATTCACTGATAAATATAATACACAAGGATTAGTGAAGTGCGTTTGATCTACCTTAGGAATGCCGAGATATTTTTGTCTCGGCGTAGCAAAATCCAATGTATAATTTCCAGTTTTGATCCAATAATTTTGGATTCTCATCTCTTTTCTGGGTGTATCTCGTGTATTATCTCTCAATCAGTAAATAAAGCGTGAAGATAGTGTGATACTGACGGAAAGTCACTAAAACGTCTTTTATTTCCTTGGATAAAATAGAGACGGTTACATGTGGCAAATGATTGATATACTATTAATACTTGTTAACATTTATTTTAAACTTTTACTTTAAGCACTAATTAAAAATATTTTGCCAAATTCCTACCTAGGCTGCACAAATATCTTCCGCTGAGATTCAACAAGACATGGAACCCCAACGGTGGCCCCGATTGTGGCCCCATTGTCACATGGTGTATCCATGGCTTCCAATACAAAATTTAGGGCCGGGTTCGCCGATGTTTTCAAGGCCTCATCCAATCAAAACAAATACCACATACCAACTTTGGAGCCCAGTCAGCAAGATAAACGACGGTTGCATTGAACGTCATTCGCAGACTAATATAGTGAATTGCAAAGGGAATTTCAACGGAGGAATTAACAGTAAGTTTGACGTTACGACTTTTTAGCAAGAACAAGGACATCATTAGGAAATCATCATCATCATCACCATCACCATTACCATAGTCGTCGTCATCGTCACTGTCTCCGTTCTCGTTGTCGTTTTAATTTTCCCTATCTACACATTCTCATTATAATAATTATCATTGACATTATTACATCATTTCTATCATTACTGTCATCTTCATTACTATAGTCTGACATTCCTCGGCCTGTTTAACTAAACTCCCCTTTGACTTAACACATGTACATGCTCAAGTAATCCATTGAATCCTATCCATGTCAGCAAACAGTTGGTCATTACAAATGTTTTTTTCTTCACTTCCTTTAGCTGTTATGAAAGCTATTGATGAAACAAGAATTTTGACCTTCTACGTGGCGCTTCAGTTTAAAAATAGTTCAGATAGAAAGGACTATGTACTGACTGGAAATGCAGAAGGACAGGACATTACCTCAACAGTAAGTAGCAGCTTTAAGTTTAAGAACTCTTTACGGGGCCAATTCACATTATCAACTCATATGATACTCCCACCCCATCGACGAACACTACAGTTCCCTTAGCACCTTACGTCCTGTTTCTAAAGATTGACCGACCGACCAACCGACAGACTAACTGAATGACCGACTGACTGAATGACCGACTGACTGAATGACCCACTGACTGACTGACTGACTGACTGACTGACCGACTGAACAGCCAACTGCCTGAATAACCAATCGACTGACTAACTGAATGACCGATTGACTGACTGACTGACTTACTAGCTGACTCACCGACCGACTGAATGACTGTCTCACCGACTGACGGGCTGACTGACTGACCAACTGACTGACTGACTGACTGACTGACATTGTGCTACAATCTCACCAATTAAAGTTGGCCTGTTGTAATTATTCCATCTTAATGTTTGGACCTAGCTTAACTTTACGTTACTAACATCCGTGTCACAACTACACATGTTTTGACCTCGATAGATGCTTAGAGGCACGTGTTCGTATCCCGCCGGGCCTTGATTTTTTTATCTGTAACAACCAAGTTTTATGTTGAAACTGATAACTTATTATCAAATAATTTACAAGGAAAATGGTTCCACTTAAAGTTTTGATTACTTCTTCTGTCATCTCTATGATTAGTAAAAGTCTAACTTAAAAAAACAGAGAATAAGGTTGGATTTGCTAGTTTTCTACCTTAACAGGAGGTACAAATTGGAGTGCCACTCGACGATAAATGTATCTTTTTGCCCCTTTACTACTGGAGTTACACCATGTTCCAAAACAAGAACGATAAGAACCTATACCTGGGTTGCGATCACACTGGAAAAGCAACATTGGTGAAAAATGCTGACCTCGACTATCCCAACCCTCAAGCTCTGTTTATTTTAAAAAGAGTTGTTCAAGTTCAGTAACTCCCTTGTGAATAAAACTGGCTTCTGAGCCCAATAAAGATCACGGCTTTTCCCCACTTTGCAATTTTATCATAATCTTTAGAGGCATATGTTAGCCATGTTTTGTAACAGACTCAGCAGATTCGATGGAATAATCCAGCTACTAAAGAGTTAATTCGACGTTTTCAAGCCTCCGAGATAGACATTCATTTCCCTCCGTTTGTAAGGTAGAATAAAATAGAATAAAAGCATGACGCAGCTTTAAATAAAAGAAATGTAAACTTTCCAACACTTGAATTCAATTTCTACTTCAACTAACAACAGAAAGAAAAGAGAAGGGGAGGGGAGGGTACAGGAATAGAAAAGGGCGATATAATACTACGCAAGCGAAAGAAGGCGAGTTAAGGGCAGAAGGTGCGAAGAATTAATTTCTTGATTGGTTTGCAATGGCCACCGTTTGATAAGTCTGCTTTGCAGCTTGTCTAGGGGATGTCACGCGCCGCCCCCGAAGAAGAGACTAACGTTTGATGTATTCAAGGGTGCACCTGCTAAACTCGATCGAGTACATGAGGTCGAGGCTCATGTTCGCTAATTGGGAAATTATTTTGAAATGAGAATCTTGTTTTCTTCAAATGCATGGTCCTCCCTCACAGCTGAAAACTTTCCTCGTCAATACACAGGAGCCAAGTCAAAGAGGACAAGAGAAATGACGATAAATTTTCTTTGACGTGCATGGAAAAAGGATTGATTTCCTCTGAAACTCTACATCAGCCTATAGTTCAATTTAATTAAACAATATTCTACCAATCGAACACTTTTCATGTCCGTGAAATGTACCAAAGAGTTTAGAATGATAGAAAACAACGAAAATAAAAGAAAAAGAAAATTTATGATTTCATTCACAAGCCAAACCGAACTTGCATTACGAAGGGAAATCATTTGCTGGTCAGGAATCTGTCAATTGTACTAAGCAATGTGCACAAGTAACATAACATAACAAAACGTAATGTGACATCATCTACACTGAGAACACGGCTTACAAGGCCAACACAAGATTACTTGAAATTTAAGTTTTCCCTGACTTCTTTTGAAGATGTATTTTTTCCCCGACTCAGAGTAAAAATTCCCTGACTTTTCCCTGACCTGGAAGTAATTTATTCTTTCCTGACATTTTCCTAACCTTTGGCAACCATGAGTATATCCACTGATTTGTTCGTTGTTAATATTTTTTGTCTCGTTAAGGATTTTAATTCAAAACAATTTCGGCCTGTGGTTGTAATTCAATCGAAGTCTGACTTTTCTACGACCAGAGAAATTCATAGTCATACGAACACTTCTAATCCCCAGGGGGGATGTCACTTGTACCCTTTAGTCCCCCCCCCCCTCCCCCTTCATCTAATCCTTGATTCTTTTGACACTGGTGGTAAGGAGTAAGATCTTTGGATGGCTTTCTGCTAAAATGCAAATTATTCGTCCTAAATGATGTAATGGATCGGGTAAGATATCCCTCTTATTGACTTCAACTGGCTTTCCCACACTGTACTGTATGGTATTTCAACCATAAATTTACCTTCAAGTCGTTTGAAGTTGTGAAAAAATCAATTTTCATATTCTCATTTCTATAGGATCAAATGCATTCACGCTATCGTATCTTTGTGGCATCCGTTTGTCTTCTCTTCAAATATCATCTTCTATTAATCTCATCATATAGCCGAACTGTTTCTCGGTGTCATTGCTAAGAAGCGATGAGATATCACTGGTATGAATGATGGTCTATGTGATCTTTCAAGTGGAAAGCCGCGCAGAAACTCGTGTTAGCGGTGTTCGTGTTTGTGGTCGTGGTCGCACTCCAGACCCAAACAGACCTCTGCGTCAACAGACGGTTCACTTGAAACTATGCTCTCGTTATTTTTGACACTGTCTGAATTTTTATTGCAATACTTATTTAGCACGATTTTGCGTAATTCTATGGAGTTATTTATTACTTGCAATCCTTGTTTCACTGCCATGATATAGCACGCACAGTACGTACTCTGAAACGAATTGTGTAAAAATCTTAAAAATTTTTGTATTACGTAGACCTTTCCGGTCAATTCATCTGTCGTGAGGGCGGAACAATAAGAAGACAAACCGAGAAAACATTTAGTTGTTTTACACGTCTTCTAAGTATTTAATACTTGTAACGCTCTACATTTCTAGGATTCTTGGTAGTATGTACGTCGTGCATGAAAACTCATTTTCCATCGAAGTTTTCGTTCTCTGGCTCAGATAAATTGGATTTCGTACGTGATATTGTTCGTGGAAGCCGGCAACTACAAGGGAAAAAAGTTTCTTTGTTCTCTTTCCCAGAATTCAGTGCCTGAATTGAATTGATTTTTTCCGCTTGTAACACTAACCTCGTAACTGACTGCTTGAGTTTTATCAAAAGTACTTACTGACTCAAGGTCTATTTGAATTATTCCACTTGATTTGATATTTATTTCGCAAAGGTAAACCATCATCCACAGCATTAAGTGTTACTCAGAACTACTGACATCTAAATACTCATTAACTTAGAACAATGACAAACGTCAATTTGACGTAAAGCACCTTCAGGTAAATATAACCTCGCATAACCTGAAAACAATTAGATTATTCCCTTGTGTTACATTTCCCGGAATCGAACCATAAAGCAACCTTTCTCCAAGACAATATATTGTGTCACTTCTCAAGAAAATTTCCCAGTGAAAAGACAGGTAGTGCCGAAGAAAACTCTACACAATAGGTCTTAAATTAGGAAGCATTCCAATTATTCACGACCTTTAACTACTGTTACATGAAGTAATTTTGAGTGCAGTTTTGATTGATGATTGAAAACGGAAATGACGGGACAAACCCCTTACCGTGCAACACTGTTGCGTCTGAGACATTTCAGGAAAGAAAACGAAACCGGACGACAATAAAACGTCTTCTTGAGGAAAATATTAACAATGGGGTTCACCGAACAACGCCTATTTGAGCTTGTTACTGCTTATTTCTTGAATGGTAAGCGCACAAAGGGACAAAGCGTTTCAAGACTTCTACATATTTAAACCTACACATCGACGCATCGTGAGGAGTGTTGTGAATTGATCGAGAAACTACTGAATCTACTCCTAGCAGGGCTATTTTAGAGCTGTTGACTCACTCAAAAGGTTAGTCCCAAACTTTATCCGGTTCCAAGCTAATAATAAGAAGGTTTGAGGATCTCTTCGCTCTCTCCGACATTTTCATACGAAAGAGGTAAAAAGGCCGGCTACCAGTATCGTAAATTATGACAGCGGGTCCGAAGAATTTTTAATAATTCAGTTTAAGTTCCTGTTTGCGATACTTTTAATTCGTGATTAGTAGAGAGCGGTATAACAGCCTGACAAATCTGTAATAAAATTAAGCACACTTTGTTTAAATATATTTACAACAAATTTCTTCTACTGAAAGAAAACGAAATCTGTTGCTGTTTACGATTTGTCAGGTCCCTTGCTCTCCTTTGAACGATATTTTAGGACAGGAAGAAACTGAAAGCTTTAGTTTATTCAAACCTCGTGATTCACGGAAAAAGCGCTTTACGAGTCTGTAAAATACCATTCCAAGTAACGTCCTCCTGCACCAGCCGTTCCGCGTCACTGAAAATCAGCAGCTGATTTCTCAGAAAGAATAACAAAATAGGTTTCTGAAGTATTCACAAGAGAAATGCTACAATAACAAGGTTTGTCAGGTCTGTCTCGGTGGAAAGTTCAAAGCAACTCTGGGGAAATGACTGTGTTTCAGGCCTAATAACCAAATTGGTCAAATACAGATACAGTTTAGTGCAAAATATTATGTCTCACTCTGAGTCAAGTAGTTGGCCTTTTGGCGTAAGCCGTAAGGAATTCATAACTTGACATCAATTAATTTCACAAATAGGTTGTGGAAAGCTGAATGTCTCCTTCACCATTCATCTCTCATTACATTAAAAAAAAGTCTGCTTTTTGCCAATTAGACTCATTTAAGACACTTCATCTCTCTCTCCCCCTCCCTGACACACTATTTTTCATCATAGTTACCGGTATTTAATTTTGAGAGCCTCAAGAATTTTCTTATGAGACAAATAAATATCAGGCTGTACACAAGTATTGGGGCACAAGCAATATATAGGCAATCCAAGAATACTGAAAGCTTTAGCATATGATTGATGGACAAGATTATCCCTCATTTGAGGTTGACAGCAAAACAGTAAGTCAATTGAAAGTAAGCTGACAGCCTTAAGCCTTTAGTGAGCTGTTGGTTCAATGAGGAAACTGACAAACAAACAAACCCTATCATATGGCAATAACTATTTGCCACTAGAAACTGGTGTACAACAAATTCACAGTTAATGGCCCCTGAAACCTGCTCAACAGTTTTACGTGTACTTTTAACTACCAATTATTGATCACCAAAAAAACAATGATAACAACAATACCAAGAACAACAAAAATCACATAAAATAAATGTTGGTGTCAACCAAGCATAGGAAGTTAAAAGATGTTCCACTGATTACCACACCTTACACTACAGTCAATATGACGGCCTATAATGATCAAACCCACAATATTTGACTATCATTCTGGTTGGATACTTTCAAGTATGGAAAAAAGCAATCTGACTAAAGAATTCATATTCAATTGAACAAAACTATTGAATCTTCTTTGAAAGTATTTTCCACTATATTTTTTCCCCTGGAAATGTGTTCTGACTTTTAAAAAGACTATATGAAGATAATTTCTGGCATTTACTGTAAAAATAATTACCCATTGTTGATGCATAACTTAAAAGAGCATCATATGAGCTTTTATGAAAGAATACTCCATCACAAGTCATACATAATGCATAATCCTAAGCACCAACCCTTGGCTTCTAAACAAACTGATTGACATATTCAAAACTTAATTTATTTCATGAGGAGATGCTACAAACTGTTTTGTCACTGACCAGCAGTGAGAATGAGGAAATAAACCTCGTGCATAACACTGCTGTTCCCTTCATATCTGATTAGACTTTCACCAACATTTCCTCTCACAATGTTATGTGGGATGATAATTGGACATTCTCAAATTTGGACTAACTCACTCCATCCATCCACCTAGAACAAGCACTTCTGATGTCTTTATCTGCTTTGAACTCATCAGCCACACTTTGCATAAATTATACTAAATTGATGCAGCTTATGAGTACAACTAAATCATATACATTGTGAATGAGATTTGTGATTATAATACTTCACCTTTTCCAAGAGAACTTCATAAAACCCTCTATAAATCTCGCTCAAATACACAATTGAGAGATGATGTGTAGACCTTAGGTAAAAATTAACAAAATGAGGAAGTTGAGGTAATGTTCTGTAATTGTGACCTTGCCACATTATGCATGTGGAAAATAATTTACCCCTGTAGGTTAACTCTTTCTTAAAATCTGCGTTTATTTGTAAATTACTTGATAAAAGATTGTGTAAATATGAAAATAAGGATTTAAGGAGTAGCCAAAAAATTTAAAAATAGTAATGAGATCGATTGATAGGTAAACAAATGAAAACCTATTTAAACAAATAATAAATAGAGTAATAAATAAACTGCAACTGAAGGAAATCGCATTTAACTGGGATAAATCAGGAAAAAAAATTAATTGATTGACTATCAGACCTCAAAGAAATATATTTTACCTCGAAATTTTGCAAGACAAAATGCAAACGCCGAGCTTGTGCTTAGCTTCATTGCATTATTTAAGGACCGTGTGACAATTGAAGGTATCAAAGACGCATGGGTGATCACTGAGAAGGACAGTTTCTTTTAACCCCTGAGAACTGAGAGA